AGGCCAACTGAATATATTAGTTTGCTCTGTTTCATGATTTTTTTGGTACAAAATAACAAATCTTGCTAATTACAGACTAAAACGCTTTTTTAAAAGGAAATATTTCCTATTTTAGTCAGTTAAATTGAAACGGGAGACTTTTGACCTTTATTGTCGTGGTATTGAAATAGCATGATAGGAAGCATGTGCTACTATTGAAGGTAATTGAAGACAATTAAAAAATACTGATGTATAACAAAACCAAAATGGTGAAATAAAAATGCCTACAACTTTTTTTTATGGTTCAGGATTCATAGTGGGGAGAAATTGAAAAAAAAAAAAAGCCGAACTATTTCCTGCAAGTCAAAAATCAAAAAGTTAGTGTTCTAGGTGAAATGAAAGGTCTTATTTATCCTCCCAGTAGATGAACTAAAATTAAAATAAAATTAGAGAAGACATGAAGACATGAAACCTCCACCATGTGTCAGAAACCAACCAGCAAGGAGGCCCTGACTATCTCTGTCACGAGTGCTTACCCTTACAAGGAGTAGTCTGAAAAAATAACAGAAGGATAAAGTAAAAAATTAAGCCTGCTGCTGTTCAGTCCCATTCAATGCAGTGTACCCTGAACACATGGCCCAGTCCAGGTTAGCTAACTTACTGTCTAACTGGGCACTATTCATATTGAGTGTTTAGGGTGTCTGATTTAGCAACCTCCTCCCTAGGGTCCTTCTGTAGCCCATGGAGACTCAGAGTTTCTTCTGGAAGGAGGCATTGAAAGTCACAGGATATTGCCTGCATCTCCTGCTGAACCAGCATCTTCCTTGCTCTTTGCTGGCTTTGGTGGGAGGCCAGGAGGTCATCCTCCCACTGATCACTGGATGGGGTCACTCCCTCTTTTCTTAGTGACCTCTCCTGCTTGGGCTGCTCAGGAATTGAAATAAAGACATGCTTAAAGGTCTCTGCAGATTAGATCCAAAATGCTCAGTCCAGGGCCAGATGAAGCCTTTGTCAGGCAGGCAAAGAATGGGCATCTTGCTTGCTGGTGGGGAGGTTTGGTGGGTGGCAGCACTATGGCTGGGAAGGGACAGGAGAAGGGAGTGCCAGCAGTGCTGGGAGGTGGGAATTTCATTGCACATTGCTGGGGATCAGAAAGAGGACAGCACGGTGCATGACCCAGCGAGAGTAGCAGACACATGTAAAGGTGGTGGGCATGAGCTGTTGTCTTGGAAAAGACCCTGGTGAAGGTGCATGTCTGTGTACACTGAACTTGGAGGTGACATCCAGTGAGAGTGGAACGAGTTACTGTGACTGCCCTTCTGGTTTATTTTTGTCTAGGGGAAGAGAAGTATTGTCTTCTGTGTACATTATGTTTATAACTCAATTTCCCTTCTGACTGATGCCTTGCTCTCTTGTCCTCCTCCATCTGGTTTCTATTGTAGTTTTAAATGAGGACAGTTTGGCTGTCTGGGAGAACAAGCGGGGTCTGTGTGACACCAGCTCCCCTTCCAGCTTCTAAGCCTTCTAAACTTCCAGCACAGCTTTAATTATAGGAGTGTAAAGATTGGATTCCCTCCCTCCCATCTCCTTTCTGTGCCTGCATGTACAGCTCTTGCTGCAAATCCCCATCCATGTCTGATCTTCCTTTGGAAGAGACCCAGCCCTGTGATTTACGTGCCCTGAATCTCTGATAGAGACCAGTTGTAAAGCACACGCCAAAGCCTGCATTCAGGGTTGATCCTAACCTCAGTTCATCAGGAGCCATGTCTGAAATAATCCTACCAGCTCAGAAACTCCTGGAAGTGAGAGAGAGCTGCTCACTACTGTTCTAACCTCACCACCCCCAAAAGCCCAAAAGGCTAAGCTTTGTAGGAGATCAGAGCTGCTCAGGAATGCCATAGCTACAGGTCATGCTCAAAGAAAACATTTATTGTGCTCCAGTTCCATACAAGTGCTGCATTTAGGAGCTTGATTTGAAGGAAGTTGATGTAGTTCCTTCACCTCCAGGGATCTGAATTTGAAGTCTGTAATTTTCAGTTGCAAGTGAAAAGTGTCCTATGTGGGATTTTTTTTTTGACATCACAAAACTGCCAGAAATTTTGGCATGACTGACTGTTTCTGTTCCTTTGAGCCAAAGACCTGGTATGGCAGGAAATCTTGTACATGATGAGTGAAGGGCACTGGCAGAGATATGTGAGAAGCCGAGGGTTGGAAAATCAAGGAAAAATGCAGGGCTGCAGTATGACATACAGGCAGAGCTCAGTGCACGTTGTCTATTTGCAAGCTATATGTTGTCTCCGCTGTGGAGTTTTCGCTCACTTTTAAAAATGGGTTGAATTTTATACATTTGCTATAGATCGTTCCCCTCAGGCCCCTGTTTTTTGCTTACCAGTCCTCAACAGACGGATCTAGCCTTCTCTTCTTCTTCTGTATAGGGGATTTGCTTACCTGCTTGAGGCCTCTTGACCTAATTTACTCCAAGTAAACTTAGAATTCAGCCTGAAACATGGTGTGATTTAATAGATCTTACTTTCAAGAGGTCAAATTAGTCACAACAAATATCAGTATCTGCAGTTTTAGTTGTTTTTTTTGTTCCTAACATTGAATTTTTAAAAAGTATCTAATAAAGGATGCTTTGTGCATGGACCCCATTTTTTGGCAGCCAGGCACCATCATATGTGGCTTGTCTCCATGAAAGACTGTTAACCTTTAAACAAACCATGTCATGTGGATATCATGATCAAATATGTTTTCTGTTCAATTAATTCTTCTTTTTTTCAGGTTGCATGGAGTTCAATGATTTCTATTCTCTGACCCAGATAGATCTGAGGTGACATGGATCTGCCTAACTTTCATTTTTGATGGTTACATGTCATTTATTCTGAGAGCCATAACAAGAAGGAAATTTTAATATACCATGTATGCATAGCTTCTACCATAGAGATGTTAAAGTCTGATTTTCTAGAAATGGACATGAGGCCAGAAGTAATTTGTCTTTCCTTTTTTTTTTTTTTTTTTTTAATTTTTTTTAATTTTATTTTTAGCATTCTCATCATCATATGATCTGAGTTCCCTACCGCAGTTCAAGATAATCAGGACTTACTGGGAGATAGGAAGGTCCTCTTTTTTTGATGTGTCACTTGGACTTTTCTTGGAAGGACATTAAAGAAATTTCATACTACCTTTTTTTTGCTCTGTCTCCTTCCACACTATTTAGCCCACATAGGAAGTAGGTGTTACATGCATTGCAAGGAACGATTCCCAGGTTCTTTCCTTTCTGGAAGGCTCTGATGATCTTCCCCGCCAAAGTCCTTGAGGAGAGAATACCATAACTCTGTGACTGTTGTGGACAAAACTTTAACTCTGTAGACTTCACTTTGCGATTTCATGGTTTCATGAACACTGCTGTAGGCTTAGGGCCTCTGCCAAGAGCTCCACCCAACAACCTGAGGGTCTTGAAAATCAGCACAAGAGCTTTAAGTGTGACACAGCATGACTAATGTACCCATGTTATGAGTACCTGCTCAAAAAACCCATAAAGTCAATTTTTCCCTGTTGTTTTGGATGAGCTCCTTTGACTGAGAAGAATTAGTCTGTTTGGACCGTTCAGGCTTCCAAGTAATCACTGAGACTTTGTGTACTCCTGCATTTGGGTTGGCTAAAAGACAAGAGAGGGGACACACAAAAAGACTCCTTAACTCCCCTCAGCAAGTCAGGAGGCCGAGGGGCAGAACTTCCCTGACTGACTGGCTCAGTAGCAGTGTGTCACTGAGGTAGGTGCAAGCTTGGAGCCCTTCTCACCAGAGCCTGTGCCCTGCAATACTTCGTAGGGACAGGTCCGCCCATGAGCTGGCTCTCGCCTCAGTGGCTCCCATGAGAAATAATAAAATAATGAAAATTAATAATGTACCAACTGTTTTTGTTGGAGTGCTATCTCTGGATGCTATCTGATGAAGCAGGTTAATATATCCTTATACTCCTGAACTTTGAGCAGAACTCAGGGAAAGTCCAGCCAGAGGCATTGTCTCTGGGGTGTCACAAAGATGCAGTAATTGCTATGGCCTGGCTTTCCAGTCAAATCTGTGGCTTAGTTGGTTTTCCTCCATACAGCTTTTGAAATGTGCTGTGCAGCAGATTCAGCATTAGAACAGGGAACTTTTGACTTGTGCATTTACTGACTTTTGTGCCTATGTCTCTGTGAAGCATTGCATTAAATACACAGTAGTTTCTAGCACCTAATAAGGAAGGGCTTTCTTACTGTTATTGTTATAGCTTGGGTTGTTACTGGGGACAGGGAGGCTTGATCTGACCAAGAGAAAGGGGGGTTCTTATACCTATATAATAGGGAAAAAATAAACATATACTTTAGGTCCAAGTCTGGATGTAAATATTGTGCCTCAGGCTCCTCTCAGCTTTAAGACTGGTTAAGTCTTTGTCTAGTTATGCTGATGGAGTTCTTTTGAAGCCAATGTCAAGTTTTGTCAGTGTGCAGATCTAGTCAATATTTGAACTTTATACCCCCTCAGTGGGATTTATGAGCACTAAACTGTGGGTATGTAGGCTTATATGGAAGTGTGAATGCTTCTCTGATTTTTATCCAAGCCAATGAGACCTTTTGGCACAATTCAGCAAGGCTGGAGCTCTATACTGGGGAGGGTGGGGGTTCCCAGGACCTCATGCTTTGCCACATGCTTTCAATTAGAATGAAAGAGCTTTTATTTTATTTTGGAAGAAAAAGGAAGAGAGGAAAACCCTACCTTTCTTTTTGCTATGTTACTGTGATTTCAGGGTCCGTCATTGTCACATGTCAATGAGCATTGCATGGCACAACCACAGCATATCCTCATAGCCACTTTGCATGGGCTATTTTTGATTTGCCCTGTATTTCTGTCATTGCTGTACCCTTCTCTGCATCCACAGAGTGCTTCTGCTATTTTTTCATGGAATTGTCTCCTTTGTGGTGACTTGTGGAGCTGTCAGCGTGTATTCATTGAAGATTTTGCTTTGCTTTCCTCTCATAGTCCCTTATGTACTGAAGAGCTGTGCAGAGTTCATTGAGACTCATGGCATTGTGGATGGGATCTACCGGCTCTCAGGAGTGACATCTAACATACAGAAGTTGAGGTAAGGGCTGCGTTTGGGAGTGTCAGAGGGATTCAGGGACATTGCATTGGTGTTGGTCCCTCAGGTACACACTGTGGTCAACAGGGCTCCACACTGATGCAGAAGATAAACTGTCCTTGAAGCTGGTAACAGAGGAAGACAACATTTTAGGGATTAGCCCAAAAAACCCTATATCTCCCTCTGCATCTGTTAGTGGGAAAGGCATGGAGGATCTCAGTGCAAATGCTGAGTTGCTTTCTCTCACTTTGGGACAAAGCAATCTCTTTATATCAATTTGAGGTCCATTCTCTGTGTTAGGGATAATGATAACTGACTGAAACCTCAGGGCCTGAACTTGGGACACAATCTGGGCCAACCTGCAGGGACATCTCTGCTTTCCCATTTGTTTTTTCTCTAGCTGTAAGCGAGTACTTAGGGTGGAGTACTGGCCTGCTACATCTCTTATTCACCCATATTGTTATGTTTCCATGTTGTTTCAGACAAGAGTTTGTTTCTGACCAATGCCCAGATCTGACAAGGGAAGTTTATCTCCAGGACATCCACTGTGTGGGGTCACTCTGCAAGCTGTACTTCAGGGAACTGCCCAACCCTCTCCTCACTTATGAGCTCTACAAGAAATTCACGGTGAGACCCTTGGCTGTTCTTGTTCCTCTCCAGCGTTGTGGATGTGCTGCAGATTCCTCCATGACAGCTGTTTGGGATTCACTCCAATGTCCTGGCTTCTGGTCCGTCTATCCATATAAACACTTCCCAGTGCTCTTCTCTTCTCATCTCGTGTTGGCTCTCCCTGTCCTTGTTCCTTTTGACCATTTCATGTTTATTTCTCTCAGTTTGTCTGCTGTTTCCCCCCTTCATCTTGCTTATTTTTTCACTGCATTGCTTCCCTGCTGCCTCTTTTTCTCCCCACTGTGCACCTCCTCCCAGCACTACTAATTCTATTTCTTTTCCTCATTACTGTCCATCACTGAGAGTCTTCTGGGTCACCTGGGCTTGTGATCATAATCAGAGGGGTGCGGTTTCCTCATCCCTGTCCCTCCAACTGTCCCTTACACCTGCACAAACTGATTTCCCAGCCCACGTGTAAAGCATCAACTTTTCTGCATGTCACATTTTTCATACTGTTTGGTGGACTGCAGATGAGAATATTAGTTATGCCAGATACAGCATATCAGGTCCATCATGGTCACATTATAAATAAAAATGGCAGAGGAAAGTGGCAACTGGCCAAGCAGAAATCTCTAGCTTTGTTTAAAGAGATTACAATTCAAAGAGTAGTTACTTGATTCTGGAAAACAGCCATAGATTATACATGGATACAGTTGGAGCTTAGGAGCTGACTGCAGAGGGGCAGAAATATAAGACCACAAAGCCTAAATTTTTAAGAGACTTGGCTAATTTTGATGACAGATAATATTTTATTAAAAGGTGGCACAGGTTTTAACAAGCTATGCTTGTTATTAAAGCTGCCTGTTTCTTAGCACTTTAAATCTACTTTCGGTTTTTTATGGCACCAACAAATTTACATCCCATCACTGAGGCTGAAATCTTGTGTGCTGAAGGTATGCACTTTCAGCTAGAAGAATTCACAAACTTCTCAACTGGTGTGGGGGATGGGAAAGATTGTTTTCACGGTGTTAGAAACATCCGTTCTTTGTTAAGAATTTCTGTCATCCTACTCTTTCCTATTTTCCTGAGAGGAGGAGGTGACAGTCATTGCCAAAATGTCAGATGCTGCAGAGAAGTTCTGCAAAATCAGGTGTTGCTGTCTGAGTTGCCTCTATCCCGAATCAAGCACTTCAAGAGACACTGCTGTGGCACAGGAGGCACTGGGAGAGATCCACGGGGTCCTTACAAGGAGACGCTCTCCAAAGGCTCCCTGCTCTGGGAAGAGGCGTCAGTGCAAGGAGTGCTTGCTCTGTGGCAAAGCCAGATGGGACCAGCCAAGCAGGAACTTGTTGTAAGAAGTCATAGAGCTGTTAGGGACATGACTCTGCTGGGGATCGTGGCGTGGGGAGTAGAGTGGCTTGCTGTGCTGCCTGACAGACGTGCAGTAATGTTAGGTGTCTTGCTGTTCCAATGCCCAATTTTAAGTAAGATTGGTCTTTGCTTCAAGGTGATGTATAGCCAGATCTTCACTGAAAATCCTGAGCAGATTTGAAATGTTGACCTGTATCCTCAGAATAAAATAATTGTTGGAGACAGTCAGGAGGAATAGGATCTTGAAAATACAGGATATCATTCAGCCATTCACTGTAACTGAAGAATCTCATTCTTGTTGGAACTATTTGGCTGTTGTCTTCTTGGCTATCACTACTGATTTGTGAAAGAAAAAAATGCTCTAAAGGAAACAAAGTGAAGTTTTGGGATAATGACTTGCAGATTTTAAGTAGATACATTTGGAAAATAGCTTTATTCAAAAATAAAAGGGAAAACATTTCTGTAATTGAGTGTTTCTTTTACAAGTACTTTCTAAAGGAAATGTTACAACATTACATCAACACATCTAACTTAAATAATAGATGTATTTAAATAACTTAAATACATAAAATGTCTTTGAGAAAAGGGTTAAATAGTTCCCAATTTAATAGTTCCAAATTTCTGTAACTAATGTTTGAGTGCAATGCTTTTGGTCAACCTTGAACAATTGTTTTCTAAAATCTTATGCCAGTTTCCCAAAATGTTATCACTTTGGGTTGACCAAAAAGCTTTTTTTTAATCTCTGGCTTTTCAGTTTTTCCACTTAGCCACAAAATCCATTATTCATGTAAGCCTGCTCGTTAGGGATTTATAATTGGTAACCCAGCTGACAGGAAGCACAGTCAGATACCAGGAGGAAAGAAAGAAACAAGACCAATTCCCCACGGAGCATAAAACTCACTGGGAAGGTGTGTGTATGTGAGGTGTCTGAACAGGGAACAGTAGCAGCTGTACCTCAACAGACGAGTGCTGGTAGGAATAAAGAACACATGCTAATCCCAGCCTGACTGAGCCAGAGTTGGGATAGGCTGCAATTTGAGTCACCACAGTGATTCAGACATTTCTGTCTAAGGAAAATAAAATTCTTAATGACTGGGGATGGGGTTGGCCTTTTGGTCATCACGATGTCAAGTTGTCAGTTGTAACATCCCAGTTATGACCTCACTGGCTATAAATTTTTGCCAGATGATTGCCATTTTGTATCCTAGTGATGGATGTTTGTTTCTCAGGACAGATAAGTTGACTCTGCTTGGCTTGTTCTAGCCTGGGCATAGAGGGACCAAGTACTTCCTCAGAGCAAATCAGCACTAGGAGGCCAAGCTTGCCTTCTCTCTCTGGACTTCATTATACTTGTTAACCAGGGCTCATGAATTGCGCACTCCCAGAATCACTAGAGGAGTTGAAAAAAATCTTAAATGGCATAAATTCATACCATGATGAACAGATATACAATAATTGGAAATACTGGTTCTTCCTTGAATTCTGTATTCTGCTGCTGTAATCTGCAGTTGAAGGGCTCCGCAGATTTCAAAAGCACAGCTTGTGTGGGTCAGGCATGTGGCTTGGAGGACTGAATGGGTCAGGACCTCAGAGAAGTTGGTATTCGCTTGCTCTCGAATCATTAGGTCTTTGAGACCTGGAAGGTTGAATATAGGAATTAAAATGTGCACCAGGGAAGAAAATATTGTGTGCAATCTAGTTTAAATCTAATACTTTAGGTGCACCAGTTAAAGGGTTTATTTATTTCTCTCAGTCTCCATCTTTGGACAAGGTTACAAGATTACAAGAGCTCTTATACTTTGGATTTCTGATTTTTTTGGTGTTTTTTTTGGTGTTTTTGTTTTGTTTTGTTTGTTTGTTTGTGTTTTTTTTGTTTTATTTTTGTTTTTTTTTGTTTTGTTTGTTTGGTTTTTTGGGGTTTTTTTTGGTTGGTTGTTTTTTTGTGTGTGTGTTTTATTTTTCTTTCTTTTCCTTATGAGGGGCTGCTGTAGAAGAAGTTAACCTGCCTTTAATTTGGGCAAATGAAATACATCTGCATCTCATATACACCTAGCTAATGAGCTCATTTGTTTTGATCTGCCATCACTTCTCTGGCCTGGAAACTGGCAATGTTTGGTTAGCTAATGTTTGTAGAGGAGAACTGATCTGTAGGGAAAAGGGCAGTGACAAAACCAGCAGTGGTAATATCATCACAGGGGGTGCTGTAGTGACTGCTGCAAGAAGATGCTTCTCTAGTGGTGGCTGGTAATTTCAGGTTAATGATGTTTAAGCAACAGGTGGTTTAGGATGGGTTGTTTCCTTCCTTTCCTTCCCTTCTCTTCCCTGGCAGTGCTGACGTCTCTCTGGAGGCAAAGCTTGTGCTAGCAGTGTGGATCGCAGTATCTTCCTTTGAACTGTCTCCAAACTCCAGAGGTAGTCTAGTGGTTAAGAGAAGGATCCCAGACAGTCATGCTTTGTTTGAACTGACTGGTGGCTTGTCCTCCCCCAGCACAAATATTTAAAGGGAATAGCTGAGCAGATGAATACCAATGCAGTGAACTCTTAGGAATGCTGACAGAAGCTTCTCATGGCTCTCTGAGCTCTTGGTCTGGAGAAATTTGCTCAAGTCTGAGATGTATAACCTTGATTCTGTCTAACCCTGAGTATAAGAATTTATTAATCTGCTGGGCAGGGATTCTGCTGAGACTTCTTCCATCATGAAAGATGCAAACCCACACAAGCAATCCCCTCAGCTAGGTTCTTATGACAGTCAAAATATTGCTTATTTTGAATACAGAACATGTATATCCAAGATGCTCTTGTAACACAGAACTTAAAAAACATGTTTTATTTTTAACAGGTTATTTTTGGGGAGTGTTATTGCTTTTTGCTTTTTCCATTATTTTCACTTCTCTGTTTCCCCTTTCTTTCTATTTCACCCGTCATTGCCCAAGTTAAAAAAAGGGAAAAAAACCAAAAAAATACCCCACAAAAAGAAAAGCAAAACAAACCAACACAAGCCAAAAAAACCCCCTGTAATTTGTAATTGAAGGTCTAAGTCCTTGAATGCCCCTCTCCCATAAATACTAACCACCATGTCTGGGCATGGTGTGCTGAAACATGGAATAACAGTGTAGGAAATCTCTTCTGTGGAGACACAAAGAAACTTCTTCTTCCAGTAGCTCTGTGTGGTAACAAGAGAGCATTCCCTCTGAGACAGGGTGCCTTGTATGACCCTTCTTATCCCTCTTCCTTTCCTCCTGAGTCCATTGCTAGGGTGTACAGTGTACTCTTTCCTTGTGTCCCTGCAGGAAGCAGTGTCACGCTTCCCCAAGGACGAGCAGCTGGCACGAATTCAAAATGCCATCCAGGAGCTCCCACCATCACATTACAGGTAAGATTGTGTCCACAGAGGTGCTGAGGATCAGCATGGTGACTGCACCCTTATCAGGGAATATTGCCTGAAATAGCTCTGGGATTGATTTCCAGAAATCAGTTTCCAAAGGCTGACTCACCATTTCCAAATCTGGCAACAATTTATCTGGCATTTAAATATCATTGAACAAGCCTTTGTTAGAGACAGAACAAGTCTCCCTGCTTCAGTCTTACCATCCTCCTTCTGAGTATGACCGCTGTGGTAGCCTTAGGCAGTGTCCTGAGTGTGGTAAGGAGAAATGATCTGCTGGAGGTGCTTGAGCAAGAGCTAGTAGCTCAGCCTTGGCAGCATCACATTCCCTCTTCCATCCATCTGTTGTTGTCTTTGCTCCCATCATACTAAGGATAGTTTGGTTCATGTGCCACCCTTGGCCACCTCAGAGCACAGCTGTTCAGGTATTCACTGCCATCCTATGTAAATGCTGGTGCTGTCTCCTCTGCCCCATGGGCTCTGTTGTGCCATTGCAGACACTTGGGGAGGGGACTGGGCTGGCTCTGAGCCTTGCTGTCCCAGCAGGAAGGCACTGGTAACATAACACATTTTTCTTTCTCTGTGTGAAACCACTGCAGAACGTTGGAATACCTGATGAAGCACCTGACTCACCTGGCCTCGTTCAGCAACGTGACCAACATGCACACCAGAAACCTGGCCTTGGTGTGGGCTCCAAATCTCCTCAGGTACAGTAGCGATTCCTCTAATCCAGAGCACCATGCAGAGCTCCAAGGAGAGTGGCAGCATCTGAGCCTGATGACCCATCACCTGAGAGAAATGCAAAGATAGCAAAAAGCTGAACAGCTAAAGGGAAGAGCATAGCAGGGCAAACAGTTTTTCTTCTAGGCTGAACAATCTAAGGTTTCACTGCCAGCGTCCAAGGAAGCTTGTGGGTTTGTGTGTTTCTTATTTTAAAAAGTTGTTATTTGCAAGTTGAGCATAGATTTAGAAACGAGGACTTAACTCATAGCTTGGGAATGCTAATGACATTTTTGTTGGTGCCAGTGCTTCTGTAGCAGGGCAGTGAGAGACAGCAAGGATCAGAAAGGAGAGAAACAGGGCAATAATATTACAGACCTGTTCCCAGATCTGCTTGTGCAAAAGTGAGATGAGCTTGCTGGGCTTGAAATGGCAGCCAGTGTCTGATCTCAAGACTACCAGCTATTTTCTCATGTTTGTTATGCCTGGCACTCTGATATGAAGAAGTCTGGATTAGATGCAGACAGGGGTTTGGCTGCTATGTTGTAGAGCTTAGCAGAATAAGGAAAAACAGCATTTAGGGGAAAAAAAACCCCCAAACCCTTTATATCTTGTCAAAATTCCCTTTCCATCCATCCAATACCTTGCATTTAGAGGAATGAGCTATGCAGGGAGAGTCCAGGACTGCAGCTGGTGAGGGGAGGAGGAGGGGAGGGGTGCAGGAGAGGGGTGATGGCAAAGCCATCAGGGTAGCCCTGGGCTGGCAGAGGACGTTGGCTAGAGAGGTACAGGCCTGAAAAGCATGCTCTAAAGAGTTATCTCATCCTTCTGAATGCCAAAAATGGCAGAGCAGGTTCTGAAAATGAATCAAATGTTGACTCTATTGAATATAATAAATTGGGCCTTTACTACTGAGATATTTTCATTCTATCACCTGTCCTTGTAAAAAAAAAAAAAAAAAGAAGTCTGTTTTTTCTTTGCAATCTTTCATAAGTACAAGTCCCACAGAGGAAAAGAAAGGAACAAGTAAAGCAACTGCAGTCTCCTTACAGGGTTATCCTCTTGGCAATGCCCCAAGCTGTTATCTAACACACCAATCATTAACTTTACAAAGGATCCATTGCCCAAAGATAATTTCTTCAGCAACACTTTGGCATGTCAAGATAAGGAATGTTCCTTTGCTGAGAGCAAGATTGAGAATGTGGGAGCACAGAGGGGCAGAGAAGAAACTATTGGGGCACATGGCAAAGTCTTGAAGAAATTGGCATGGAGAAGACCTGAGCAGGGTCTAAGAGATTTCACTGAGAGATGATTGAAACACTGACTAGGGATCTAGAAGCAGCATTTGAAGGCTCCTGTGTTGTCTTTCAGGCCCTGCCTTGAAATAGCTAAAATAAGAAAAAGGGAGAAGAACGGAATCTGACAGTCACAGTTTAACCTGCTGAAGAATGTAAAAGCCAAGTGGGGAAAATAACACATTCAGGAAAGAAAGTAGCAGAGGTGGCAGAGAAAACAGAGAAAATAAATTTTAAAGGAGTGAAAGGACAAAGAGAGGGTGAGGGCCTGTGAGGGAAGGAGAGGAAGAGGTACAGCAAGAGTGGGAAAATCATCCCTGTTGCTTTGCTTGCAGGAAGAAATCTGGTCTGTCTTTGCCAGGGGCTATGTGTGGCAATGCTCACTACTGGTACCCCTCTTTCCTCATGCAGGTCAAAGGAGATTGAGGCAGTTGGCTGCAATGGGGATGCAGCTTTCCTGGAGGTGCGAGTGCAGCAATTGGTGATCGAGTTCATCCTGAACCATGTGGATCAGATCTTCAACAACAGCAGGAAAGCCAGCTCTGCTGAGAACATTGGTAGCAACCTCTCTGAGCCACTTACCATGTCACCTGCTATGTAGTTCAGCTCTCCCTTCAACTATTACAGTAACAGAAATAGTGCAGTAACCCTTGCTATCACCACAAACTTCCCCAAAGACACCTTAAGCCGAATATCTCATTTCTCCTGTCTTCTTCATCCCTATCTTCAACATTTTCTTTTTGAATACTAGTCTCCTTTAGTGTTTTCTCAGATTGCCTTATGTCTCATTTTTTGCATGATCTCATGTGGCTTAACCCTTTCCACAAAAGGAAGACCACCGGATTGATTTTCAGTCTTGGTCTAAGCTTTCTCTCTAAGTCCATCAGCCACAGTCTCAGCTCTTCTCTCAGATTCCCCCAGTAACAATTCCTTATTCCAACATACCTACCCCGCAGCCATTACTTCTGCCCAAGCCAGAGGTCACATTCTCAGGCACTCCCAGGAAAAAAATTAATCCTCTGCTCCAAAAACTTTTATATTGTTCCTGAGGACATTTTATAAAAGAGATTTGTTTTTTTTCCTGGGACATCAATAGTTTTCAGAGATGCTGATTTTGCTGTTTAGTGATGTTGGCAAACACTGGGAAGTGAGAAGGCATGGATCCACAGTGACCTCACATAATTGCAGAAATATGTGCCTTCCTATATTATGCACTCGAAAGACTTCTGATACCTTCAGTACTCAAGCAGAATCTACTTTTGCAGCCCTGTGCCATTTCATTCTGCCCATCCTTACCTTAACATGGCTTTGCCACTGCCCACATAAAGAGACACTTTCAGTTCCTTGGGCTACCAGTGACACTGCTTTCTGTGGCCCTGAAATGGATTAGAAAGTTAAACTAATGCTGTTTTTTAGAACAATCTTCTGTCCTGAAACAAGACAAGGAGAAAGATGTGGAAGTGAGAGAAAGAACTGGGCACCAAATTTGGATCAGTGACTGAACTGCTTCAAAATCAGGGGTTGGTGGGGGCAGAATGGAGGAAGGGAGTGAGGGACGAGTAAAGGGAATGTGTGAATCCTGGTGGTTTTCAGAGACACCTCCTTCACACAAAAGCATCTGCAGAAGAGGAAGCAAATCCACACAACACAGCCTTTGGCTGGCAAGCATGGCCCCTGCTGGGAATATACTCGGATAAGGTTGCTGGGGAGCTGAAAGGCTTATCTGACAAAAAGCCTTTCTCCCTGCATGTGCCACTTCTTTCCCCCCTCCACAGGAGATGTTCCAGTCAAACAAAGTCATGAAGCTCTTGCTCTCATCTCTCCTCACCCCAGGCTGGAATGTATTTTCTTGTTTTTTAGAGAGCACATCAGTTGTGAAAAGTTTGACCCTCCCCTCAGCCTCCCTGCCAATGAAACTGGTGAGCCTAGAAGAAGCCCAGGCACGGAGTCTGTCTGCATCCCATCCTGCCCGGAAGGAGAGGAGAGAGAATAGCTTGCCTGAGATTGTGCCTGTAATCGGGTCCTTCTTCCACACAGTTGTTGACCTTCCTGACAGCAAGTAAGTGCCACAAGGAGTTTAAAGCACAAACAAAAAAGGTGCAGGCTCCCCAGTGTGATTAGAAATGATCCTTTTGTTAATGTGATACCCCCACACATGCATTCATATGAATCTACTGCCACTATCCAAAGAAAATTCATTGTCCTCAAAAGAGGCAGAGCTACTCCTAAGAAGTACTGCAGGTGCTGAGTTCATAGCTTCACTAGTTCTCATCTCCATCAGGGCAGAACCTCACAGAACTCCTGCAGGAGGCATCCTTATGCCAGCTCAGAAGTTGACTAAACATGGGATGAGCGTGGAGCAGGTTGGGGCACAGCTCATCTACGAGTTCCACCTGTTGGTGGCTGGTCCAGGGCACACCTGGTGCCACTGACCTGCTCCAGATTCCTCATTCTCCTGGTTCCTCTGCAATTACAGCCAAGAAGGAAGGCTCATTTTCACTCCCAGCATGAAGAGATATTTACATAGTGGCACCTATGTCAGCTATGTCTATGCCAAAAGAGTCTGATTTCAGCTGAGGTTGCTGCAGGTGTTGGCACAGCTGCCCAGAATAAGTATTTATCTATTGGTCTATATAACTGTTAATATATAGCCACTCTACTGCCTGGTTCTGATAGATTATAGCCTCTGCAACAGGAGTCTCATTAATTTACTGACCCAGAAAGCACCAGAACAAAAATATTTGTTGGCACTTGATATATTAAAGCAAAAAGGAGTCATCTAACAGAATACTGGCAAGAGGATAACCACCTTAAGACAAAAAGATGTTTGTCGCTCTAGGGTGCCTTCTCTTTTCTCATTTGAAGTGAAAAATCCTATCCCCAAGATAGGATCAGTCCCCTTTGTAGGACTGATTTGTGCTTCTCTGTGTACTCATCAGAAAGAAAAGCAGGAATATGGGGATAGAAAGCCCAATGTAGGGAGCAAGACAGGAAGATGAGAGAACTCTTGCTCTGAAAGAGGGGAGATGGAAGGAGGAGTCAGAATGAGTATAAAGGAAGTGAAACACAGCATCATGAAGAAATATGTGTACAAGAAAAAAATTGCATTAGGACAAGCAGCTTCTTTCTGCAAAGGCTGGGATTTCCAAAGAGACATAGGGAACTGGTGTCCCACTTCCTCTGACAGTTACGAGAAATTGATTTATTTCCCTTAAACCTCCTTCTGTTTGGTTAGTACATTATACTTGCATATGAATATATAACACCTGTGATTAAATTAACATTGGCCTAAGAAGCATTAATAGCTAGTTTGCATTAAGGAAGCCTTTTATTTTTGCCATAAGACATGGTCTTTAAAGCATAATTTTGTGAACTGAGAAGTAGTACCAGTTCCATCAGTTCCCTGGAATTTATCATACATTGTGTCATTAAAACCTGTTAAAAAGACAATTTTACTTTGCTTTATTGCAGGATAGCCTGAGGCTTGGAAACCTCTCCTTTCTGGAGACAAGCATGGTTGACTGCTCAATCACTGTTGCTGTAGCATGATACCACAGCCAACTATGTGAAGACTTAGGTGCCTTTCCATCCATGAAATAGTTAAATCAGAAATACAGATCAATAACTTACAGCGTGATTGCTTCCTATGTAGCCAACAAGGGTTGGTTGTATAGCTATACCTCACATGCTTTAGAATTAAAAGAAATGTGAGAAGAAAAAAAATGTTAAGTGTTGAGGGGAGATAGTTCAGAACCCTTTGAAGGGGCCTTTGGAGGGCATTAAAAACGTAAAATCTCTAAGATATGGTGACCACCGCAGCCTTTTTTCCTTCCAGGAGGAAATTATCGACCAAGTCCAAGAAATGGAAGTCAATATTTAATTTGGGGCGCTCTGGCTCAGAATCAAAGTCTAAACTGAGTCGGAATGGGAGTGTCTTTGTAAGGGCACAGAAGCTCTCTGGTAAGAGCACTTTTCAGCTGAATGCTTAGCTCTGAGGCTTTCTCTTATTTTGTTGGTAGCATGGAACAACCTATATCCACTTGCCACTAATGCTGTAGACTTGAGATAGTCTAATGGGGTCATGCTTGTTGCCTGGTTTCATGCACATCTCATTTTCCTGTGATGAGAAGAAACACCCTTCCAGGAGAATTTGACAGACAGTTACATGTTACCTGATACATAGGCTCCTGTTGTCCAGCTGTCAAGTCTGGGGGACTAGAAAATGTATGTATGTATGTTATGTAGGTTTGGATTAATCCACTATTCCAGCCCAGCCAGGAAAGTTCTTTCAGGAAACGGAATGAAATCTTGCAATTTCAATGAGGATTATTTGGGCAAGCTGCAGTCCATTTCCATGCACTTCTACTCATCTCATTCACTTTTGGTGTTTTCACTGGGTTTTGAATTCTCAATTTATTTTTTTTTTAGCCTTTCATTTCCTTGTTTTTTCCTCACTCTCTGTTTACCTTTCTTCCTCCGTGTCAGGATTTTAACTGGATTAAATTTGCGAAGTTTTGTCTTTTTCACTGCCCCTTATTCTATCTCGGTTCATTTGGTTGTACTCACTCCATTTCCAAACATTCTGGTTGTTTTTCCATTGCATTTTATTTGATTATATCTCCTTTCCAGAGTATGTTTGTTAGACTTTGTCATCTGATTTCAAGATTTCATTCTATTTCCTGAAAGGGAATTTCGTTCCCTTTCTCTGTCTCCTAAGGCTCATTACATGACACTGGGTGAATGGCTGTCCTTCTAGGCTGTCCTTTCACTAAAGGACATTAAAGAACCAACTACATTCAGTGTCTTTGTCAAAAGCAAGGCACCAGGGGTGCCTTCAGCTCTGGCTCTCAACACTTTGAGGGAAGCCATTGCTTTTGCAGAATTTACAAGAGAGAAGTTGTGTTTTTTCTTAGCTGTAACCCCAAGTTCTAACCTCTCCTGCACTGCAATCTCTTAAACACTCTATCTTCCTAAAAAATCACATGGCAGAGCCAGTTCCCACTGTTAAGAAATGATTACTCAAGCTCTAAAAATCATGAACTTGACTTAAAACTAATCACATTTTTAAAATGAAAGCATGCCTTTTAAATTTGAATGTATAAAGAAATGTTTGGGGTTTATATGTTCTAATTTTTTTAGTACTTTTTAGTATTTAGTATTTTTTTAGTACATATTTAGTATAAATATATTTATTTAGTATTTAGGAATTTATTTTCTATAGAGAGATGAAGGTGGATTTCTGTCTTTATATAATCTCATGACTCCAGGAGCTGGTGTTTGGAGGACTACTGCCTAACATTGCAAGACTTCAAATAAAATAATTAATATTGGCGACATTAGCTGCCACCACATATAAGAGAGGCTGTATTTGGATCAGAAATGAGCGTGAAGCCAAATGCTGGATGCAGTTGTTTTTGGATCCCTGCCTTCCCCATGTTTTGCATGTACAGATGGCCTCACACAGTGTGCCCATGACAGACTTCAAAATAGCTCTCTATCCTATTTTGATCACAGGATCACCTTCTTACCTGCATAAGGAATACTCTGTCTCAAAACAGTGCTAGCCCAATGAGGCCCAGGAAAGATGGCAGCCCCAGAGATCACGGAGGCTGAGCCTTGTTGCAAGGACAGTACTGAGTGACAGGAGGCTGGACATTTTCATCAGCCGGACACAAAAATGCACAGCTGTGAAGAGTTTTCAGCACTGCAGCAGTGCCTTTCAGAAGCTGCACTTTTGTGCTGCTATGTTACATTTTTCAGTGCTCTCTGCTTACAAGCTAATGTGAGGGAACAGACGAAACTACTGCTGAAACTCAGCACATGCTTTAGCGCAGCTGGAGTCTATGCACACAGATCTGTAAGTCACATAAAATGTGACTTATACAGCTCCCCTGCTTGAATTCTGTTCCTCCTGGAAAGCGGAAACAGTGCTCAAGACATCACGTCTTAGCAACATAAAAAATAGCCAGGGCTCCATATAAATGTAAAAAGTTGCTGGAGTTTCTCTCCTATGCTTATGTGAGAGTTGGAGCCAGCAGCCTCAATTATATAAACAAATGAAGTCCAACAAGCCTGCTGACTTTCTGCTTTACCTACTTTGTGCAACTCTGTAAACAGCAAACTTTACTCTCAGACATTTTCCAGATCTCCATGGACGCTTTTTGGGCTGCAGAAACTAACTTGTCTTCCTTGCCAGCTACATTTCCCTACCTTCCTTCCTTTTTCAGAGCAGTGACAGCTACAAGCTACTAAAACCTCTCAGGAACAGACCTGTAGAGTGTATAGTAACAAATGACAGCTTGTTTCTGGACAAGCAAGTCCAGTGAGGATGACCAGCAAAATGGGTTGCTTACTGCCCTCAGAAATTTCCCAGAGTTCCTGCTGCGTATACTCACGTCAGCAAAAGAGCCGGGAGTGCAACATAAAAATAACCCAATATTTGCTATCAGGAATGAGAGGTGAGAAGGCATTTATGTCAGTTTAGTTTAAAAGTCCCCCACAACCAATACCCTGACTTAGTCGGGGAGGGGAGTGGCACATGACAGCTTTGGAGATGCTTAACTGCTTCAGAGTTGACTGGCTGGGTTAAGTATAGCTCTCCACATGTCCAGGAGGTGCAAAGCTGTTGTTAGCACTAGCAGATCCCCAGCTGTGTGGACAAGTGTTATGGGTAATAAGTCATGTGGTGTAGATACATGGGGGAATGCTTGGAAATGGCAAATGTCTGCCTGGCATGCCTGTCTATATGTATGCAGTCTTTGATCTTTATAGGCTGAAGTCTGCAAAGCCGCAGGATCTGATACCTGCTTCTAAAACTTTTTTCCACAGAAAAAGCAACTGTTCGGCCTGCAAAGAGCATGGACTCGTTGTGTTCCCTGCCAGTGGAAGGTGAGACATCCATAGCCTGCCTGTACTGTAAGGGAGAAGGATTGCAGCTCTGCATTTTCAGCAGCAGGGATCACAGAATGGTTTGGGTTGAAAGGGACTTTAGAAATCTCCTAGTTCCAACACCCGTGCCATAGGCAGGGACACCTTCCACTATACCAGATGGTACCAACACTTGAACAAGCCTTGAACACTTCCAGGGATGGGGCATCCACAGCTTATTTGGACAACCTGTTCCAATGTCTCACCACGCTCAATGGATGAACAGTCTGTGTCTATCTCACCATGTTTTGTATCTTCAAGTACTTATGCCATGGTTGCTGACATGTGTGTCCACCTCTGTGTGTGCGCATTTTTGACTCTTTTCCGTGTTGTTTATCTGAGTGCATCCACCTGAGAGTTACCACTGTGTTTAGCTGCACCTTTATTGGCAGTTGGATTGCTTTGATTTCTTTCTTGGTTATTCTGGACACAAAAATCCCATTCATAGATGAAAAAGGCTTACAAAATGCCAACAAAGCCTGGCGTGTGCATTGTGGGCAGTATGTGATAACCCTAGACTTGGCTACATCTGTTGGAGAAGAGTGTCTAATAAAAGTCTGAGCTGATTTCCACTGGAGGGCATTCAGTCCTATGCTGCCTGCCTATTTTGAAGGAAGCCCTAGGGCTAGAGCACAGCAGGTCTTCATTGCTTATTGTCTCCATCTGTCTGGGGAAACGGGAGGGATTGAGGAGGGCTCCTCACAGAGGAAGTTTTGTTTGCTTGTGCTTTGCTTCCCACTGATTTGCTCCTATGTTCCTGTCTCTAGGGGAGGATGACAAAAGCAGATTCAAACGGTCAGTGACTACTGGAGGATTCTTTGTTCCCATCAAGATACGGACAGGATGCACAGGCAGCTCATACGACCTCAGCAAGGAGAATGAGTGGGAGCGGGAAGGATCTGCCATGGGGGCCAAAGGAAGTTCAGAGCCGAGTGGGGAGAAAGATCTTCCCTGGACGCCGCAGGTGAAGTCATCCCCTGATCCCCTGAAGGTTTTCCGGGTAGCAGAGGATGCTGAAAATGAGCAGACTTCAGCCAAAGGAGTGCTCATGTTCTATACCTCTGAAACAGCCACCAAGTCAGGCTTCCCAAGCAGCCTCTTTCCCTTGGAGGCCTCTCCTCATCACCAGAGGAAAGCCCTGAACATCTCGGAGCCATTTGCTGTCTCTGTCCCGCTGAGAGTATCTGCAGTCATCAGCACCAACAGCACACCCTGCCGCGTGCCCACCAAGGAGAAGCATTCCCTTTCCAGTCTAGAGGAGTTGTCTTCTCTGGTGGAGAGCACGAGCCCCTCTGCCCTGGAGGCAAGGACTCACACAAGGGCAGAGCAAGCAGCAGAGAGCAAGGAGAAACAGCTGGGGCCAGCTCTGCTAGTGGCAGCATCCAGAGGTAAATTGTGTTAAGGAGAGGGGTACGGATCCTCAGTTGGGCTGCTGGAAGTGCCCTGCACCTTGGTGATGTGGAGGTTTCTCCAGCTTGAGCTTATGGCAGGAAAGAAACCAACCTATAGCAGGGTGGGTGTTGACTTGATTGCAGGTCAGGGTGGTGCTTGTTGCAGTAAGGAGCCCGGGGAGGTGGGTGACCTCCCAGAAATATCTGGTTGTACCTGGAGGGAACTCTCTAGCGTTGTTAGTTGGTGTTGGCTTTTGGCAGCACTGCTTTGTCCCAAGGCACAAGTTTTCAGTCTCAGGTAGTTACATTCATTTGTGTTTCTGATCCAGGATCTCATCCTGAGGAGCTGGTGGCAGCCAGAAAACTGGAGTCCTTAGAAACGCCACAGCCAGCAGCAGAAAATCAGGAGATATGTGGGCAAAGCAGCTGCACCAGCGGCACCAGCAGCCCCCAGCAGTCCTCAGAGCAGAGTCTCACCTTGGAACAAACACCAGCATTGGAGTTCCATAAGGGACCACTCCCAGCAGGGAAAGCAGAGCAAGGACAGCTTAGGATGACGGATGTCTCCTCAGAAGGCAGCTGTGACCAACAGGAGATTGAGATGGCTAAGACAGAAGAAGGATCGCACCTAAGAGCTGTGGTAAGGAAGAAGGCATGAGGAAGGTGGGGGACCATGCCAGGGTAGTGGCTGGGAGGTTGTTTAAAGTTTCATTGTGTGTCTGTAGCTGCAAAAACTCAGTCTATAACTTAGGCAAAGCAGTACCAATAATTGACCATGAACTGATTTATTTCACTTCTGTGAAATCACCATGTAGTAATTTACCTTTACATAACTACCTACTGTCCCCGTTTGGTCATCTTTTCCTATAACTGTAAAATTTCAGTCTGTACCATCTGTCTGGTCTGAGACTCTCCAGATGTGAGACTGTCTGGATGTCTGAGCATTTTGACCTGTGGTCTCTGAATTCCCCTTCTATTTTTGTTGTCCCATTTGTCCTCGACAGCCTGAACAGTCCTTTTTACTCCCATTCTCTCATACAATTTTATTTTTTTATTTCTTAGTATTTTTTGCCTCCTCTGTATTTCCAGCAAAGCCTTTTCACCAAGTTTCTTACAGCAGTACTCATCTCTGGACACTATTTAAAGCTCTGTTGGCATATCTCCTTGAATAGAGTATTCACTTGAGTGTGTGTGCAGTTTGGAAATGCATATTCTCTGGCAAGGCCAAGTGAGCCTGAATGGGAATTGCTGAGAAATGGGCTGGAACATTCCAGCTACTCATTCAGCTCACTATTTCAGTATGTCTGTCCTAGGCCTCCTTTTGGCTGCACCTCAGACCTTCTCCTCCATAAACCCACTTGTTTATAAATGTATTTTCTTCCTTGAACTGCTAGCAGTCTGTGTGTCTGTGTTTCTGTACCCGTGAGTGTGCTCATCCTGGAGTCTGGCTATTCTAGGAAGGCTGTTTGGGGAACATGGATGGGTATTTACTAGTAAGTTGCCAGCTCCCATGTGATGGCATTTCTTCTGTTTTTCAGACTGAGGAGGACTCAGCGAATGCCCTTCTGGAACCACTGTGGCCAGAGATACAGCAGGAACTGAAAATTATTGAACCTGAAGAGGAGCTCTTGCTCTTGCCAGCAGCAGTCCCCATGACAAGCTCAATTTCCGAATCCTCTTCTTCAGTACAAACAGATAGTCTTTCCTCTGGCCCAGGGCAGAGTCCAACACTTGCTGAGCAGAAATCTGAAAGCAGAGCATCACAGATAACCCAGCTGCCTTTTTTTGGTGCCAGTGGCATGGAACAACAAGACAGCTGCCCGTCTGATGTAGTTGCACAGCAGAGTAGTGCTTCAGCCCTACCCAAACTGGGCACTCTTCCAACAGGCTCAGCCACTCCAAAGAACCACCGGTCAATGGTGGAGAGCAGGAGTGAATGTCTCACTCCTACCCCGGATTGGAAGCTTCATAGTCAATCAGAATTTAGTGAGATTGCCACTAGTGATGGATTATCCTGTTCCAAAGGAGCATGTCCAGACTCTGGGAAGGAAAAAGATGGCAGTTACCAACTCCAGAGGGAAGAGGATGGTCTTACCAGAGTCCCAGAGACTCATAGGGAGAAGCATGAGATAATGAATACTGATGAAAAGGACACATTCTCCTCCAAGGCACTGAGTGGAGCTGGAATCCAGGAGGTGAAGGAAGGCAATGCTGTTAGCAGAACCCAGGATGCTGCTGACCAGGATGATGAGGATGCCTGGACAGATAATGTGCAGAGCTTAGAACTTCTGGAGCCTTGGGAGGATCACCAGTGGGTTACAAGCCCTCTCCATTCCCCCACCTTTAAGGACATTCAGGAGAAGATGACCCAGGAGATTCACCCACAGAGCCAGAGAGCAGAGATAGGCCTTTCTCTTAGACCACGGTTCAGTCGCAGCCTCTCCTTGGACAGTAAAGACATAGTGCTGAGTATGTGGACTACCCCATTCTCTTTCATAGATGCCACTGACCAGCAGCAGCCATGCACTGACATTCTGCATTCAGTGACTTGTGAGCTGTCCAAAACACAACCCATGTCCCCCTCTACTTTGGGCAAAGCTATGCAAGATGAGAATGGCCGAAGTCCTCCAGAAGAACTTTCAAAACCTGAGTACCCGTTTATCAGGGAGAAAGCACCAGATGAGAAAGCAGGACCCTCCAGAGTCCCTCTTTCGAAGACAGAGGGAAAGAAAGTGCTTGTGAGCAAAGAAAATCATTGGAGCCCAAAGCTTGGGTTGTCTTTGCCATACCAAAATAGCCCAGGCAGTTCTTCACAGACTAAAAACACAAAGGAGGAGTTACCCATCTCTCAGGACACTGCCCTGAGAGGAGAGACTGTCACCAAAGCATTGTGTTCTGCTGCTGAGTCACAGCTGAGTAATAAAGGTGAAGAAACACCTCGCAAAGTAAAAACCAGGCCTTCATCCCTCAACTTGGATTCACTCCTCCCAGCCCTAGATTTCTTCACATTTGAGAGCCTGTCCATGCCATCTGCCCCTGGGAACCTCTTGTATGGGCAGAAGGAAGTAAAAAGCAGTGATTCTGTCCCATCCCTGCTGACACAATGCCCTGCTGCCAGTAGGGGTGTTCCCTGGGGGTCTTGTTTCAATGCCCCCATGGATCTAGACTTGGATTATCTGGCAGTGGCCCATGCCACTACTGGCCGTCGTAACTCTGCCCCCGTCAGTGTGTCATCAGTCAGGACCTCCTTCATGATTAAGATGTGTCAGGCTAGAGCGGTACCTGTGATACCACCCAAGATTCAGTACACCCAGATCCCCCAGCCTCTGCAGGCTCAGAATGCTGCTCCAGCCACTGAGAAGAAGGAAGCCGAAGTCAAGCAGGCCATCAGGCAAGCTCCACAGGTGGCATGGAGCCACCTGGAGGCCCCCATGAGCCCTCTGACAGAGAGGAAAGCCAAAGCAGAGAAAGAAAACAGTGACCCTGCTCAAAAGGACTCAGCCTGTCCTTGGCATGGCAGCCTGGGCTCTCCACTGGAGCCATCTCAGTCCAGTCATCACCCTGCTCTGGATGCCCCTGTTCTGTGCCGAAAGCGCACCTCTGCTGGGGAGACAGCTGGAGATAACCCTCAGTCTTCAAAGATAGAGAGGCCATCAGGGTTCTTCAAGCCCTCCTACAGATCTAGGCCTGGGAGGCCTCAGAGTCTGATTCTCTTCAGTCCCCCTTTCCCCATCATGGACCACCCCACCTCCTCAGCAGACTCCAGGGTATTGTTGTCACCCATCAGGAGCCCCACTCAGACCACTTCTTTGACCCCCATTTGTGGGGATCTGTCTGACCCTGCGCAAACAACACCTGAGGGGGTGACACTGCGGAACAAAATGACCATCCCCAAGAACGGCCAGAGACTGGAGACCTCTACCAGCTGCTTCTACCAGCCCCAGAGGCGCTCTGTGATTCTGGATGGACGAAGTGGGAGGCAGATTGAGTAGCAGCTGCTTCTTCTATTACTTTTCTGTGATGGTTAGAATGGGAGTGTCCAAAACCAACTCTGTTGCCATTTTGCTGTTGTTAAAACTATTCTGTGCAAGATGGACCTGACTCCTTTATGGTTTCCTGCAAAGCTTTTGCTATGGAAGATCATAGTATCTTTGTCTTGCTTTTCATTCCCTTTGTTGCTCCTGCCTAATCTTTCACTGTCTTTTTTTTCATGGTAAGCCAGGGAACTTGCATTTCTCACACCTGTTTTCTAAGAAGCCCTGTGAAAGTCTCATCCTCCTGATGGCAAAAAGGAAAAGTAAATCTCTGTAAAATTAGAAAATAGGGCTGAAAGGAAACATTGTTACAAAACACTTCAGCTCAGGGTGCAGGGGCACAACATCTGCTGAGGAGGTAAGTCCAGATGTTTGAGAACTCCTACCATTGTTTCCCAGACACTAGTGAAGGACTTTCTGATTTATACAGTGTAAATAAACAGTGCAGGAGGCTGGGGATAGCTGGAGAGGAAGGTGAAGCTGGCATGAGTAAATCACCCAGGGTGTGAGACATCCAAGGATGTTCCAGTGATAAACATACAACCTGCCTCCAGCTCTCTCCTTGCATTAGAGACATGCTCTTTACAGCATGTGCAAGGGCTGGAATGAAAGCATCTGAACAGGAAATGACTAGTTGTTCTTTCAGTCTTTCAGGTCTTGCTCATGAGTTTTGTGTGCTCAGTCACTCCTTTCTTGGGCACACGAGATCCATGTGGCTGAGGAATGAGCGTGCAGCTGGCTGCTGAGGGGTAGAGACCCCTCAGGCTGAAAGCAGTGAAAGCCAAGGCAAGGTCATAACGAAGGGCAGTATCAACTATTTTCATCATTGCTTAAAGCCAGATGACACCTCTGCAGCTGTCTCCAGCTGAGCTCCACGCTGCCAACAGCGGACAAAAGCAAGAGGATCTTCTTATCTCCATGTCCTTAGGCTATTATCCTCTTGCATACTGACTGACATATCTTTGATCCTTGGTCTTAGATTGCCACTGTGTGGCATATCCCCAGGTGCTTCTTCATTTAAATTTTGTCTCCTATGATTTTACACTGTTAATCTTTGAGAGTGTGGCTGGTTGCCACCTCCCTGGACCTCAGTGCTTTCAGACTGATTAAGAGTATGGTAAAGAGGATTATTTATGGGACTGCAGAACAGATCATGAAAAAGTCTTGAGAGGGGGATTTGAAGTGAATTAAACTCTCTCCTGAAGGAACATTAATGTTACAGGCAAATATGTGTTCAGATATGCAACAGCTGCCATGGGAATAGAATTAAGTAGAATTAAAGCTTCCTTTATAAAGCCTCACCACATTCACCACAGGCTCCTCTGTTGCCTGATCTATGACTGTGGATGATGGCAGTCAGGTACTGCCTGTGCTGTCTCTGCAATTTAAGTGTCACTGGTGGCTACAGAGGAGATGAGAACACAGATGTGACTGCCAGCACTGAGATTGTCCCTGTAATGTGCTTGCAGGGGCCATCATTCCTGGAGATGTCTGAGTCTGCAGGCCCTCAGACTGGTGTGATGGGCTATAGTTTGAGCAGTATACTGTTAGGAAGTGCTATAGCCACCACAATGAGTGTCAGCCAGAACTTCCCAAAAGATGTGTGTTTAGGGCTTTGTTTTCTGAAGTACTGGCATTTTCCAGTGGTTAGTAAACTCAACCCATGAGCTCCTAGTCTGTACTGGCTGTGTCACTTTATTAGCGCCATGGTGGCTGGAGGGCCCTGAGCCTCCCCACACAGCACTTTCTCTCAAACTCTTTGATTGCCAAAGGAGAGATATGCTGGAGTATTTTTGAGAAGTTATGGGCCCACAAATGCAAGAAATAGATCTTTAGCAGAATTTTCTCCTTCCATTTCCAAAGGGAATGTGAAAAAACAAGAGGGCTTTTCCTCATCACCAGTTGCAGTCTTTGATCCTCCCCACCACACTATTTGTGTATAGTGCCACATGGGAACAGAGAAGAGAACTAAGTCTGTGCTATCAGTTTTCTTGAGGGAGATTATTAAACCAGACGAGAGTCTGGAGTTCTTGTTTGGGTCCATATTCTTTCACAGGCAGCAGCCTATGCTTTACCTGGGCAAGCTGTGGACAGCAGGCCCAGAATATGCAGCTTCGTGACAATCGTATTATTCTACTCCCAGACCATAATATGCCTATGCAGCCTCTTATTAAAACTAGGGAATTTTCAATCCTTCATGCTCCTCATAGTTAGCACAGCTTCACACTGCACTTACATGGCTCTGCCTCATGAGAAAACTTTTAATCACCATGGCTGGGTTAATGACAAAGGGAAGGTGCGATACAAGGTATTGCGCTAAAGTTTTAGAGGAAGTAAAAATTGTGGAAATGATGCCCAGGTTTTTTTGGCATCCACAAAATAGTTTTCTTTGGACAAGGACTCATAGTCTCTCAGTTTCTAGAAGTTTTGACTGCCAAGGCACCTGGAAGGAAGCTAGAGAAGCTCACAAAGTAATGCCTCAGTAGGAAAAGAAAATGTGGCCTGTTTAACCTTGACATGTTAAAACCGTTTATTTTCTCCTCCTTATTATCATATAAGCTGATCTATGAACAAGAAATGAGATCTGGCAATTTGTATATAATACACTATCTCAACTCTTAACAGCATTCCAGTAAGTAATAGCGCTTTTGGCATAAGTGGTGGAACTCCTGCAACAAAAAGTTATTAGAAATTTTTATTTGATATTAAAGATCAGCTTCAACTAAAATCTGTATCCAGCCTATACTTTTTAAGGGTGTTTCAGAACTGGAACCGGCGTGATGGGAACTCAGATCTGGATTTTAATTAAGCAGAGATGCTGCAATGATATCTCTATTTTGTAGCTTCATCCCATTTCTTATCTACAATTTCATCTCTGGTCTTAAGCTGATGTATCCAGAGCACTTAAAATAAAGCCGAAGGTCCTGCAGAGATGAAAGTATGTTCTTAGTTGAAAGGTGCCCTGTTGCACAGGTGTAATTGTTCTTAGCTCCAGACTCAGCCTTCTGCCGAATCTGTAAAGCTTAATGATGGATCCATGCTGATACTGGTACCTGCAGTCAGCTTGAAGGACCAGAGCTTGGGAGTTGGACAGGGCCAGAAGATAGATGCCACCTCCCATTGAATGGTGCTGACTGGGTGGCAGGGGCTTCCTGAGATCCAGCTTTACTAACCTATCTTAATGTCAGTTTCAGGGTCAGACCTGATCTCTTTAAAAAAGGATTTTCTTCTTGTGTTTTTTTCTCCTTAGTTTTGGGTTTGGTTTTTATTGTTTCTGTTTGTTTGGTTTTTTTTGTTTGTTTGGGGGTTTTGTTTCTGTTTTTCCTTTGTTTATCTGTGAAGCATTATGAAGAGGGATAGATTGGATTCATGGAAGATGAGTCTTGCCCAGTAGAGCTAAGCTGGTTTTTCTTGGTATTATTGAAAGGACCTTCCTAAATAGACTGGCTCATCATCTGCAGCTCCCACAATGATCACTTCACGGACCCTGCAGTCCATTTCAATACTCCTGAGACTGTGAAAAGTAAAAGCTGTTTCCCAGATTGCAGATGGCCTCAGTATCAGACACGACAAGTTATCACCAGCATGTGTTGCTTGTGGGCTTTTACAAGTGGAAGACAAGTGAGTAAATGTCACTTAATCTTTCCCATGTAGTCAGGGGGTTGGTGCATCTTATCTTAAACATAGCTCAGAGTGAAATGGCTGAGCTAGCTAGGTGAGAATCCCTGATGGAAAGGAGGGGCATGGATAATGTTAGCTTGCTTGGGAGCTGCCTCACTGGCAGGAGAGTAAACAGAAATGAAGGTTGTATTTTACCTTATAAACCCCAGTCCTCTGGGCTGTCTATCTCATGCTATTACTGTAGAAAGACGGAAGTACTTATTTTTTAACCTTTAGAACTTCAGAGGAACTTAAGTCTGTATTAGAGAGCATCCGTGAAGCCTGCAACATTTTCCCTCATGCAATGTCCAAATGGTGCAATCAAAATATTTTTTCTTTCTTTATGGATTCTGAAATGCCTGTAATGGTGAATATTTTTAAATTTTATATCTATATATAAAAGATGATTCTATATAAATGTATTCAACAAAGGAAATGTAATCAACATGAAGGACTTGCCTAAATAGTATTTTACACATCTGTGAAACTTGGGCAGATGCATGGCACTGTTTTCTGCTGCTATGTTTGCAGCACTGAGAATGTGAGATTAAATGGCTTTTTGCCCACAAAGTAGCTAATTAGTTCTGGTTAATCTGTGGTGGGAAGAAGGCCTGCATGTGCCTTTCTGAGAAGGATCTTGTCCTGGGAAAGGAGTGACAAGATCAGGGGAGACCAAAGTTCAAGGGCTGATTTAGCTTTCCACCACAAGCTTTTCCCAGGCCTTGAAATACAAACGATCTACTGAAGCATATACTACCTTTCAGGCATGCCCAGGTTTTGCAGTTGTCCTTTTTGCTTCTGTCCATCTCTAGAAAAAAAAATAAACATCTCAAACATCTCTAGGGGTGGGGTAGAAGCTGCAGCTGATCCCTATTTTATTAAACCTTTGCATGCTCCTAACTGATGTAAAGGATTGGCGATAACTAATTCTGCTCCAAGCAAGGAATGGAGAACTTCCCATTGAGTTCGACTGGAGATGGAGTAGGACTTTAACAGCTTCAGAAAGGAAGGATGGCAGAAGGCAAGAACTTTCTGAGGGCTTCATACAGCAGTCCATACCTTGGTTCTTGTGATTGCAGGCACTAGTCTGCTTTGAAATATTATTTGCTACCAGGTCAAGAGAAGGGCTGGAAGCTGGACACTTATGAAGAGGACTGTCTCCATCCCACTGGCCCTGGTTTTGTGATTATTTTTCCTGCTAGCTCTGATGAATTGCAGTTTTGTTAAGCTTTTTTTCTCTGTATGGACTTGCCTGCCTCTGTGCATGATTGTAAAAAAAAGAAAAAAAGAAAAACAACAGCCACAAAAGAAAGATGTTTTGATGTTTTGCCAGCTCTCAGACATGAGATTAAACTGGAGTTTCTATAAAAACAGATCTGTGCCCTAGTGATGTTTTGGAACATTTTATTTTTTTCTGGATTTGGTTTATGAATACAGTGCAAATGCTTTTTTCAATCCTCTGACATGGAGTTTGAACCCCTCTTTTGTTTTGTGAGTGGCCAGGGCACTGATCTGTGTTTGTGTGGGCTTTGATGGTATGGACTTAAGATTAGGGCCTGACCGTACACTTTTCTGATTCAGGGTTATGAGAACTGCAGTTGCTCTGCAGCTCTGAAAATGAAGTGAGATTTGGAGATTTCTGTACAATTACTGTTATCTGAAATGCTTTAAAATTTGCAAGGATAAAATAATCTTTTTTCTTACCATTGCTGGTTCTACCAGGCTGTTGTGATGTGCAATGCATGTGCAGTGATGTGCAACTATGTCCTCCTGTTTAGCATATCTCCTGCAGAATTCTGCCTTGCCTGTGATTATGCAGCTCAGAGTAGAGTATGGAAAATCTTTGTAATCCCAGTGCTTGTACAGCAGAATCCAAGCTGTGTTGTGGTTGGGGTCGTTGTTGAGGTGAAGCAGGTAAAGAAGCAGGAAGGGCCTTTGCAGTGGTTTCACAGAGATGTTTATTTCAGCTATGCGTGTGCACAGTCCTGGAGTTCAGAGGCAAAGGCAAAAGCAATGGTCTGGGGCTTTGCATAAGGTACGTAGGATGAGCAGGGTGGGGAAAGAAGTATCAGAGAGCAATTACCAGGGGACATGAGGGTGTTACAAGGATGGGATTAGCGAATGGGGGCCAAAAAAACAGGGTGGGAGTGACTGAAAGGCTGATGGACGGGGAGAGGGCATGGGTTTGGAACAAGACAGGGATTGTTCTGAATTGATAGAATAGGATTTGTTATCAAAAGGAGATAACTGAGAGAGAGCCCTCTTGTGAGAGTGCTTTTCAAGGTCTCCACAAAGCTGCAACAGAAGTTACTATGAAGGCCTCTGGTGCATCATGCATGCACTTCTGTTGATTTGTAAAGGACAAGCAAGAACTTAAACAAATTATGAATTTAGTTCCTTGGCTCTCATTAAACCAACCTCTGAGCTGTAGCATGGAAGTGAGTATTGTTATTATGTGTCCCTTACTCCATCCTGGGATCACAGAGAGAAAAAAAAACAAAGAGGGGTGTTCTTCTGATTCTTGTAGCCTCAGCTGGACCTATCTGCAGTGCAGCTTGCTCACTGTTCTCCCTAAAAGGCAGGTGAATCATCAGGTTAAATGCAATATTTTTCCTCCTACTCAGCAGCTGAACTCGGGGCTTGACTCCCTTTCCTCCCTTCTTCATGACTTCAGTTTCCCTTCAGGAAAATGCCTGGGTTGTGCTTCCTGCTTGCCATGGCAACTGGCATACAAATTGAGAGAGAAAACCATGTTTGTTGAACTCTGGAATTGTTGTTAGCTGGAGCCAAGTATTAGTGCTATATGAGAACCAGTATTTTCCTATTCTTTGTGCCAGAGTCTCACAGTGACTTAGCCATGAGGCAAAGGAAGAACCTCAGACTGCCCCACAGCATTCCCATGGTTATGAAAATTAGGTCAAAGGGACACTGCAGACCTGCTCATGCTCCAGTTGGCATTGTGCCCTAAATCAGGGTGCTTAAACACATGGAAGTCCTTGAACACTGTTTCAGCCAGTTTCTTTTACCTGCCTGACTCAGGGCAATGCCCTGTGTAGGTTGTATTGGAAGCCACAGCTTCAGCATTTTGGATACTTTCAGTTAAGCCAAAACCAGGATTAAGCAAGTTCCCAACCTGGCTGTTAACCAAGAATCAACCTTACCCAGCACCAAGGAGCATTTGACACTGATGTCTCTTGCATCCTCACTGCAACACAGGACTCCAGTGGCTCTGGGCAGTAGGACATGCCACTGGTATCCCACTGGCAGGACCTAAAGGTCAGCTGGCAGCAAAGGAGAGGCCAGTAGTGCAGGGAAGGGAGACTGACACAAGGCATCACCACTAACAAAATCATAACAGCCAAGATAAAGAAAGGCAGTGAGATTTCTGAGTTCATTTTCCATCTGAGCAGGATAAACTTTTCAAAGAATGTGCCTCATCACAATGGTAAAGGATGAACAGTTCACCATTAAGGATTAGAAATTAATGGGATCTGCAAAGCTCAGATCTGCCTGAGTACTGCTGCCCTCAGACATAGTGTGGTGTTACAACTCAAATGTTTGCCTCACTCCATAATTAAACAGGGTAGGTATTTTCGTATGTCTTTTTAGCAAACTGCAGTGTGAGATGAGCAACACTTTGCAAACCTAGACAAGTCCTAGGAATTACATTTGCAGTTTGGGTGCAAATCCATCTTAAAATTGGACCTGTTTACTTCCATAGCACATCTGCTGCAGAGGGTGCATTTCTCTGTCATTTAAATCCCTTATCTGAAAAGACCAGGAATTATTTGAATTCAGTGAGAGGAAATGACTTAAAAAACCACTTTGTAGTTGCTTAAGAAAGAACCACAAGGCACACAAACATGGGAACAACCAGAACTGGAGAAAAGAGAATAATACACATTATGATTATTCAACAGAGGACGTTTCTAGATAAGTAAAACTCAAAAAGGAAAAAAACCCAATACCCAACAGCCATAAGATTGAGCCGAACAAGTCTGAAGAATATCAGGTAACATTCTTTTTCCCTCTTCCTTCACAGGGATCAGAAGAATAAATCAGAAAAAATAGTGCTCACAAACTGCTTTACTTTTTTTTTTTCCACACTGTGAGATAATTAACTTTAAACATCAAGAGTCAGGCAGTAAAAAAGGATCAAGCTGGTTATTTACAAGGATTTTTTGAAGTGACTTGACTTTACAGTCTCCAGCCTCTGTGCCAGCCACAGTACCCTGCTAAAGGTGAGCATTACTTTGGGAAAAAGAGAGAAGTCCTGCATTGGCCTACAGTTAGCAACAGCCCTGGATAACCAGAGCAGCTCACTGCTCATCACTTTTCTCTCTTGCAGGGTTTATCTCAACTGGTGATCATGCAAGAACTGCACATGACCTTGCCTGTGATGTAATTCACCTCACGAGCAAGTCAGAAACACCCTCACCTTTTTTCCTGTCCAGGATAAACCCTCATCAGTCATAATCCACTCCTCCAAAAGTGGGATCTCCTAAAGACAGATACCTGACATTACAGGGAGATGCCTGACATTACAGGGAGAGCTCTTGCAGGAGGTTCCCAGCATACTACACATTGCAGGGGATTTCCCCAGTTGCCAAGGAGGGCAGGGCTGCCAAGGGTTGGGAGTAGGAGGATTATTTATGAGCTAGTTTTAGGTCATTGGTCCCAATAAACATTTGTTTGGCATGAGTCACTGTTGTAAGGAATGTGAAAAACTAAGATGCCAGGGCAGTGGGCAGGAAAGGGAACAAATCACCCGAGTCAGAAGATACTGAACACCACTGTCAACCTGGTTCCTAGTTTTCCCAATGAAGTGTGTAGCCAGATGCAAGTATGGCACACAATGGCCATTGTATATCGTACATGAACCAGCAAGATAAAGAAAAACAGGGCCTGAAAGGGTCTGTGCAAAGAGGTCTCATGCAGAAGAAGTGAGGGGAAAGGAAGAAGGGGTAGGAAAACTTGTTGGAAAAATGAGGTTGAAGCACAAAAAACATAAAGGCAGCCCTATATTGCCCCATTGCCTAAAAGAACAGAGACTTCCAGCACTGCCAGCAACAAACACCAGGTTACATTTCTGTGTGTGTGGAAGGGCAGCAGCTGAGGATGTGGGGTGCTTTTTGGATTGGAGGACACGCCATTCCATCAGCTATGAATAGAGGATGCTTCTCAGTGAGACTCTTGATTTCTCAGAACTGGGAGTATTGCAATAAGTTAATAATCTAAAAATACATTTGGTATTTTTACAAAAAAAAAAAAAGGTAAAATTCCATGGGAGAATTGAAGTGTACTTTTATTGCTGAGAGAACTGTGAATTCACACCTACAGAGAATAAAGACACAGAGCAAATCTGCAAACAAACCAAATGACTTTCACCTGCAGCAATTTTTTTTCAGCCTGTTTTAGCAGGATGTCTTAGTCCAGCAGTTCTCATGCACACATGCATATTGCCTGCTCTGAAGACCACGTATATCCATGCTTTCAGGAAGCAATCCAGCTGAGAATGACCAGGATTTTTTTTACAAGTCTCAGCTGACACATAAGCCTGTTCACTACCATTCCTGTCACAAACTCTATCCTTTCCTTACCCTTTCCTTAGCACCCCAGGTAATTTCAGAGGCTAGAATCAACCTTCAGAAGCACAGTTTTTTCTGATTTTTCAGCAGGATTTTTCATTACCCTGATCAACATAATTCTGTCATCAGTTCAATCCTCTCCTTCCCCCTTAGTTCAAGCAGATAAAGCTGTGTTTTTCTGGATACACTGTGACATGTTTAGCACTTCTGCACAGATCCACCATTGCATAGATCACTGGGTCAGAACTTTTAGTTTTTTAGTACACAAATCATAAAGTGCAATGGGAGGGAAGGGCTTAAGAAGCAGAAAGCAAATTTGAAGAACCGAACTGAATTGACTTGAGCTGCCATTGATGTAATATGTCAATGGTATCATTTGCAACTGGTTGGAGGAGTTAATACTGCAATAGTCTATTTAAAGTATCTCAGTTTCTCTTCTTCAAAATTCTGCAGAATTTTCCTTCATTATAAATGCAGTGCTGTAATCATACCACATTTAGATGGAGCAGAAAGGTCTGAAGCAAAAGACCAGAGGAGGAAAATAATATTTGATCTTGCCTGCTTCTGTGGTTCTAAAGTTTTCTCCAGGCAGATGTTCAGTGACATCCATATTCAGAAGGCCTTACTAGCCCCTAGAAAGTCCCATAGCCAGTTGTTTCACCCATTTGCAGAGCTGCTTGAGTTTCAGAAAAAACTCAAGCAAGAGGCCCTTATGCAGGAGGGCAGCTATCCATGGTGGCTGCCACCACCAAGAGTTATTGGAGGCGTTTGGCCGAGCAAGGACAGAGTCTCTGTGCTTGCTGTGTCCTTCCTGCCCCATTTCTCTTCTCTCCTCTCTGCTGTTGCCGTTGGCAGCAATTTGCAGTTTCTGGCAGAACCCAGTCTTTACCATTGTTCCCTAACTTTGGCAGATGCTGATTCTCTTTAGATTTCTTTACATTTAGGTATTACTTTCAGCAACATAAACATTTAGGTAGCTTTCAGCAGCATAAACATAAAAACACTCAACCCTACCACCAAACTTCCCCCTCACCCCCTTGAAAACTAAACTCCAACCACTGACCTACACAGTCTGCATGGTCAATCCATGACTCAAGTCTCACAACAAAATGCTGAATACTAATTTCCTTATGGAATTTCTCAGAGTCCAGAGTCTCCAAGACAGTCACCACACTACTGAACCAGAAGAGTACCTGATCTGTGAGGACTGTCAGTTCTGAAGTCAAAGTCATACAGGCAACTCCTTCTGTGTTGCAGGGACACATTTCTTCCTCAAGCTCTTCCCCCTTATCTTCTTCCTCCTCTCCCCCAGCACTCTGGCAAGGAATTATTTGGCTGCTAAGTTTATGTAGCACGCTGCATCTTGGTGCTTTAGCATCTCTGTTACAGGATGTTAAAACCTGTCATTGTCCTGCCCCACATGTCCCAGACACAGATCTTTATTACTTACCCATCCCAAAGACACAATCTTGAACAAGAGAAAAAATTCACTTCCACTTCTTTTTAATTAGTATTTTTGTGAATATACAAAAACAAAGAATCAAAGCAGATGGCAAATATCAGGACCTGAACAAGTACAACTTGGGAAGAGGCTCCACCTTAAAATACTCTATGTTGCTCTAGCAAACACTCTATGCTCTAGGAGCACATTTCTCACAATACATTTAACTACTGAAGCATTCACTAGGAAAGATACAAGCTCAGTCTGGGCCAAAGTAAACAGCCTTTACTGAATGGAGTGAAAACTGCAAGTGCTGATGCAAGGACTAGGTTTGGTTCAGTTAGCTCCTTGCTTGTATTTTTTTCATGACAGTTATTCACAACCATTTTTTGCCTTTTGTCCTACCTGATCCAGGGATGTGGAAGGGAAATGGCACAGGGACCATTTACACACAGGTAGCTGAAGCAAGAAGTACCATAAACTAGGAGCATGGGACAGCCACGTTTGCAAAGGCAACTACAGCACAGAACCCCTTGTATTCTGCACAAATTCTAGATGTATGAAATCTTGTGTGAAGTACATAACAGCTTTTTTGAAGGAGTTGCTTGTTAGCAAGTGGAGCTTTTCCTGGAGTGGCACTTCTGAAGGTAGGATCACATGCAGTAGTTTCAACAGTGACAGGAGGTAGGCTAGCATACAGGCAGCATATTGCTGAAGAGTAAGCTAGCCTTTTTTTGGGCTTGACTAGCAACAGACTTTTTATCTGTGGCAAGTTTTTATTGCTGACACACTTAAATGCTCAGAGAATCTGCCTTATTCTAAGGCCAGGGTGACAGTGACCAGCAAGAGAAGTTGAATAGTAAAATATAATGTATAGATCTGCAGTCTTCTCCCTCACAACATCCGTCCTTATTGGTCACAGGAGGTTACAATTTTGCTCACATAGCCCTTGCTGGAGCATTATAATTCAAACTAATTTTAGAGAGACATTTTTCTGGAGAAAGTGTATATGGACATTTTCTTTTCTGATGTCATCAGAGAACAAATCAGACCACTTTTTTTCTCATCTTATGCTCCATGATTTCTTGCACAGTGAAAGAAGGATTGTGCTTCAGCCAGGAGGCATTAACGCTGCAGAACAAGGGGCAAAGCAGGGACAAGATTCTTTCCTGCAGTCATCAGTTTTTTGTGTCAAGTTTTTGGAGGGGCAAAAGTATATATGGAGAGGTAGCGGGAAAACTTCAAATCCTCCATGGCCCGTGGAGAATGAACCAGGAGACAAACAAATGCAGTTTCACACGGCTCTTCAGAACAAAACTGAGGATGCCAGGCCTTCAATATTCAATTCTACTCCAGTAGAACATGGTGCCAAGGAGGACGCAGAACTGAAATGACAGCACTCTTAAGTTTCTCTGCCCCCCATTTCCTTCTTTCCACCTCTCCCCCAGCCCCATTTAGTTCTACTAGTAGGAGAGAGCATCAGAAATTCCTGAAAAGCAAAGCCTGTTCAGGCAGAGGAAGCTTTAAGTATTTATCTGCACAGAAACTACACAGTAAAGAAAGAAGGTACATTCAGCTGTAACTATTTGACTGTATCACTCATCTCACTGGGGACTATGTGTCATGAAACTGCTGAGCCCTGAGTACTGCATACACTCATACAAAATCTTCAAACTACAAACTGAATTATCTATCATGATGACCCAATACCCTTCACAAAGAAGCATCTGCAAGCTGTGTTTGCTGTGTTGTATTGCTGAGATGGCAGCAGGTCGCAGCAGGCCAGGGCAGGCTGGAAGGCCATCTAGTTCCTCACCTCTGGAAGCCAGAATGGAGGGGAACTTGTAAATGTAGCCCTTACTGGAGCAGGCTATAGGCCGATTTCTGATGAATGAATGACAGTAATCTATGGGCATGAATGCATCAGTCCTGTCATCCACCTCCACCCAACTGGGTGCAGAATAGCAAGAGAAGAGGAAGTAAATGCAAATATTAAGTACTTACAGTCCAGCAGAGGATGGCAAAGCCAAACCAGGCAACACCCCAGGCATGTGTGTTCACTGGCCCAGAAATAGTGTCATAACAACCCTGAAATACAACCAGGAATGACTCAACATCATCGATGAGCCTGCACTGCAAGGTGACAAACTTATCCACCCCTGAGTGAGACTGAAGTGGCACAGTGGCATGCTCCTCTCCTACTGCAATTTGGGTAACTCAGAGGTCTCAAAAAACCAAGTCAGAGCTACACTGCTTTTTGACAACTTGCAGATAACCTGCCTGTTTCTGGCTCCAAGTAGAAAGTAGACCCATCTCAAACACTTAAGGACAACTTGCTGTGCCATCCACTTGCCAAGTATGCTTAGATAACCAAACACAGTTGACACAGAATTGACCTCCAGAATCAAGAAATGTCAAGAAAATTTGGAAGCTTGAATTCCTTCTAGAAATGCAAGCTAGTGCAGAAGGTGATGCTCATGCCCCAGCAACCTAGTGAATAGGACATGATGGTCTACTGAAAAGTTCTGCCTTGAGGAGGAGAACTGCTGATTTGCTTATTCATGTTGTATACACTCATCTTTGGGCTAAGTTTGATTTAGCTACTGTCCATCTACCTGTTAGAGATGTCACTTTTTACCAGTGGCTTGAGAGATTTCTCTCTCCATCAGGAAAGCCTTTATCCTAAAAAAAATTCCTGTCCTGTGCTCAGTAACATGGTCAGGACTCTACAGGCATTTCTTCTCCTCCAGAAAGCTTTTGAACACCTGTGGCTTACAGTGAAGGAGAAAGGCTATTCACAGTGTCTTTCCCTTCCAGCAAGGACATTTTTGACTGACATATGCTAAGTGAAAAAAGCAAAGATGATCTTACATTGCTGTTATAGTAGCCAGACACTCCAAGTTTGCAGCCATCGAGGTTGATGGGAAGGCCTTTTGCATCCAGGACGCAGCACATCCGTGGCCAGGGGTAGTCAGCATCACTGTGCGTGCCGCGGAAGGCAGACGTGTACTCCTGCCAGTCAGAGGGGCCCAGCACCCCACAGCAGTGGTTCTGCAGGGACAGAGAAGGGAAGGGGATCTTTGTGGGCTCAGGTCACAGCTCTGCACATGTCAGGACACGGGTTAGGCATTAATCACAGATTTATGGGAGAGATTTTTGAAGTGCCTGCTTTTGACATTCTGCTGTCTCATAAACGAGATAAAGGGAGGCCCCAAGGAGGCTGCTGAGGATTTACAGATTTCCAGGCTTGCAGAGCATTTAATAATTAGTGACTTTTCAGTGTTATTACCTGAAGCATGAGTTCATCCCATGTCTTTGTGACCACATTGTCACTGTTATTGGCTGGCTCTGATTTCTGATATCTCTCCAGCATTTGCTTCAGGAAAAGCCCTGGAGTGAGCTATAGAAAAAAAAAATGCCAACAGAGAAAAATGCAGAAACTATGTAAATAAGCAGCCATGTAAAGCAAATACAGTGTTATCTGGGGATGGTTTGTTTTCTTGTTTCAGTGTCCTGCTAGAGAATAGGAATGTTGCTTCTCTGGTTTTACACATGAGAATAAAGAGCAGGATTTGAGGAGAAGGAGCAACAAAAACGAAGATCTCAAGCAGGCTCTACTAGATGTAGATCACAAGAGCTGTGCAGAAGCTATGGATTGCTTTCAGTATATTGGAACTAAAGCACCACAAATAATTTCCCTCCCCACAGTATCTCAAATAATCCATGTAATCTTTCCCTCACCAGTAACACTGCCTGGGGCAACGCTGAAGATTTGTCTTCTCTGTGTATGATAGATTAATCAGTCTGTAGCTGAAAGACTAAACACTATATTGATGATTGACCTAACCCATGCTATTATTTCCTTAACTACAAGGTTGTAAACATTTAAAAATGTTAAAAATAACAAAACTATGCTAGAAAGAACAAAATATTTTTTTTATTAGAACTTGTGTTTCCCAGTGCATTTAAAAGAATACATGAGGAAAGACATACTCACAGAGTCTTGGTGAGTTGCTGCTGTGATGCAAGAAGCCATTTCAAATGCAAAAGTGATTAGCATCAGAATGACGTACTGTGGGAGAAAGAGAGCAGAATGAGTTCTTGGAGAAACAGTTCAGCATTTTTTTCAAGATTAAGCCAGAAACCCTGCTTGATGTAAAGATGTCCAGGCTATCATATTCCCTCTCACTCAGCCTGAATGTTCTCATAGCCCTTCCCTGTGCTAGTTTCAATTTGCAACAAATAACCAGAATTGTTCTTCATCTCACAGAAGAGATTTCATCAGAACCTCATGGCATTAAGACTACCCTGCCTCCATGGAAAATACTTTGTCCTTTTCTTTGTTGTGTCTTATTGGCAACCTATGTTTGTGTTGTATGTCCTCCTTTCACTTCCACTTACCAGCTATAAGATTTTCAGCAGGAAGCTGTTCACTCCTAGTAGGGGGTGAAACTTTGGGGAAGCAGAATGTGCAATTTAGGGTGTTATTCATATTCCCCTGATTTTTCATCATCAGATTTCCTGAACACTCCTACATTGTGAGCAAAGATTTTTCATGAAAATGGATTCCAAGGGTCACCCTCTCACAGTGTCTTTCACTCTTTCTTTTCCCTTTCCAGCATAATTCCTTTGACATTTTCCATATTTTCTTTGGAGTTCTCATGTATCTGTTCCTCCTTCCACATTTTATAATGCTCCTCTCTGATCTAAAGCATTTTTTTCCTACTTACCCCAGCTTCTGTCCCTTGTATCCTCTCATATATCCTAAACCAGAGCCCTGGGTTTCAGCCAAGACACCAAAATTCAGAGTTAAAGGAATTCTGTTTCCTCATCTGTCTGCTGGCATATTCCGTGGTCCAAGAGTTCAGATCTCTGAGTGCCTCTTGTCTAAAACAGACAACCTGCAACCCCACAGTAATCCAGAGAGAGCTTATTCCAGAGTTTTTGTCTCTACTCTTTGTTAATGCAAGCACCAACTAAGTTTTGCCACTGCCAAACTAAAGGACTAAGTAAGACATTGTACAGAGATTTGTCCACATCTCAACACTGCCTTTCCATTATCCAGAGCTCTGTCCCCACTCCTATAATTTCTGTCTGACTGCTGATGTCTTATGTTCTTGATTGCACCCATATTTGTTATCTGGACACTTACTAATGCCTTGTACAGAAATCATTACTTATCAACTCTTAAACTGAATAGTGTATGACAGATGAAAAGCCGTAAGGGGTGGGGAGAAACAAGGATCTAAACCACATCCCAGCTATACATGATTGTGCAAGTCCTCCTGCATTGCTTCAGGGCAAGGTCAGGGTCAAGCCAGTCAAATCTTCACTGTGACTATTTCCATTGATTCCCTCAGCCTGGTTCAGGAGCTTCTCGTGCATGAGTCTTTACAGGAGTCACCTTCTGGGACACCATAGCCATGATCAAGAACATTTGGCTCCTTATCAGTATAAAAGCTGTCTTTGCTCATTGGTTGATTCCCAAGGTGACCAGGGACACTAAGGCAGCGTTTGTTCAGTTTGGCAGCAGTAGAAAGGCAAATTTTGCTACACTTACCACCAGCAGCAAGGTCCTGCTGGCCTTAATGACTCCAATGATACCAAGGATAGACAGGGCAAAGAGTGCAAGGCCGACAAAGATGCCAATCCAGGCAGAAGTGTAGATGTCACTGTTTTCTGTGGCTTTCAGCAGAGGGTAGAGATCATGGGGATTAGACACAAAGTAGATACACTCTGCTGTCAGGGCAATGCCGCACATCTAAGAAGCACAAGAAACCCATTAATTCAAGGTTCCCCAAAGAAATAGAAAAGACAGAAACAGGTGTAGACTGCTTTCCTTTCATTCAATTTCCTGCCAAGTGGGAGCTACCCAACTCCTCCTCTGCTCAGCTCTACAACCTCTTGTATTGGGACTTCACAGAAGAACTGCAGGCAAATCTCACCCAGCCTTGATCTGAAAGGTCAGGCCTAGGACTTGAGGATGTTAAGAAAGAATGAACAGAACCATTCCATCACTACAGAGGGAGGTGGCTGGAAAAATATTGGTCTGCTCCTGCTAACAGTTCTAAGGCTTTCCTCCAAGCACCCATCTTGTATTGTGGATTTACCCCTGCTGTCCCTTTCCCACCCAATTGATCATCAAGGACAGCTCTCCTTATCCTCTTATTTCATGCTATTTATGTGTGGATTTCACATGTGAAGAGGGAGAACTGCTGTTTCAGGAAGTGTCATACTGGAAGGAAGCCTCCACCCATACTTGTTCCACTTCACTTACCCCAGTGACCACATTCCCAAAGACTAACAGACCCTGCAAGATGTGTACACAATCATCATTTTTTGCCATCTTTAATTCTTCATGCAACCTAGAAAAAGCAAATGCAGTCTTCAATTAAATCACTGGTACAATATGCTTCACTCAGAAATACAAATTATCCATGAGAAGAAGGATAGACAGAACTTGCCAGCCTGTCTGTACATCTTCCATCCCTTGCTTTATAGAAGTTTCAGATGAGACCTCCCCAGGTGTTAATCTGCTAACTCAAACTCTCCCTGATACTTGAGCTACAGAAGACTAGGTCCACTTTGGGGGCAGCTGGTGTCTTCAGCTCCCTTTTGGGTAGGATTTTCATCATCACATCAGCACTCAAAACAACCTCAGCTCGTGGTGTCATTTCTACCTGGCCAAAACCACCAGCTAGATCTGGATGGAGAGCGGAGAAGTTCAGCATCCTCACCTCATCCCTATTCCAAAGGAGCCAGTGTTACTCCAGGGGATGCTATCCTGGGCCATTTTGACCTGCACCATCATGGGACTGGACTGGTAACCACTGTGCTCTGGCTGTATCCCACATACACCTACAGCACAGGGCTTTGCTAAGAGTAGCCCCATCTCCCACCCGTGCTGGGAATGGGAGCTGAGTCCCCCAAGTCAGGTATGAAGGAGGAAGAGAAAGAGGGAGGGGGCAGCTCAGGTTGCAGCTGGCTCATGGGACCCAGGCCAAGTAGCATTCCCACAGAATTTCTGAGAGTGCTATATCCTGTAGTGTAGAGTCCGGTGCCCTGCATCAAATTCATCCCCTTCCAGAGAGTGCAGCATAAAGACATCAGTCAGAGGTGTGACACCTCTTGGAGAAAGAAGTTCAGATGTCAGAGTCCAAAAGAAAAGTTTTTCTTTCAAAGGGATGGAGTATATGTGCATGGAGAGGCTAAGGGGAAAAAATCCCAACCCTGAGACAACTGTATTTACCAGGTGGCTAAGAAAATATAAATCAGGAAAGAAAGGCTGCTGTGAGCCCAGCTTGAGCAAACAACAGGAAAAACTGCTTGAACATCCTTCTTCTGCCAGAGTACTTGGACTTGTGCCTCTCTTTTGCTGGGGCCACTGACTTCACAATTCTTCAAAGAAGCTGTTGGGAAATATGAGCAGACAAAGCTGTCAATAAAAGGGAGCTTTCTGAGGAACAGAACATTGTGAGACGCCTCTAACAATGCCACCTTGTGCCTCCTCAGCAGTTGCCCTTTTAGGGGTATGCAGGACTTCCAATAGTGACAGATGAAAACCAGGCACTTCCTACCACTCTTTCTACGGTAGTTTGAGGATTAGGCATGCTGACATCTCCATTATATCGGCAGAGTGCCTAAGTATTTTTGTATGATAGCATGTGTAGGAGTTTTTTAATAATATGTGGCCATTATTTTTGAGAAGACATTTTTAGTCCCAGCCGAGTGTTTGGAAGCCAGACTCAGTATACATGAAACTATATGGCTCTGTATTGGAAAATGGCAGGCTCATGAGGTCAGCCTGGATCTCTGCCAAACTTCCTGACCAGCCAGGGTGTCCAGGGGCTGTCTTGCAGGTCAAGTCTGAATCTGAGCAATGTTCAGTCATGTGTTCTATAATATGACACTGCAGAGTCTGCCAAACCTAAGATGAATCCTGGTCTTCCACTCATCTGAAAGCTGGAGAGACCACTTCCTGGCTCATGGATCTATGTGCTGCAAACCTCAGAGGCAATTAAAAACCCTTTAGTTATTGCTATCTAAGGGACATCACAAGCCAGGCAGCAGTCCAAAAAGCAAGGAATTCTTTCCTGCTCGAACACAGGCACTTGCACTCTGACTGCTACATGAAAAAGTGGGTCTTCTCCAGTTGCAGTGTATAAAGCAAGGTTGAGTGTGTTACCCTGCTCAGTGTAACAACAGTGCTCACATCTTGTATATGGGATGTCCATCCAGCCCAAGCTCTTGCCTCTCCACAAGCTGGCTTTATTCTCCTCCTCCTTGGCAGGCAGAACCTGGCTCACTCCTGTCTCCCCTTGGGCAGGTAGTATTGCAGTCACATTAGCTGGAGAAAGCAAGCCCCTTCTCTTGGGGTGAGCTCACCTCCAGTGAGCTACTATGGTTGTGAGGAAAGCTGGACACAGTCACCACCACAGGTGTATCAGCTGGAAAATGTTAATGTTAGCTGTCAACCTAAGGTTCTCCAGTACCTTAACTAAGTTCAATGGGATTGCAGTGCAGGGGGAAGCAGAGAGACCAGGAAGAGGAAAAGGGAAGGAAAAAGGATTTAATCTAGACCTAAAAAAGCCAACTGTTGCCATATTTCTATTAATTATCCCTCTGCCTCCAAGTGATTGGTGCCAAGAGTTCATTTCTTGGTGTCCATTTTATTAACTCATGCTGCATGGGTCAACCCTTTGTCTGACCTCTTCTCCCTTGCAAATGATCCAGTATCACCATCAGCGATGAGAGACCAAGCAGGTGCTCCAAGGCCATGACAACAGCTAGGTAGCTGGAGAGCCGATCCTCCAACATGTGCCAGAGGGGAAGCTGTGGGAGATCAGGAGCTTTCCACCTGCTCCTCATGCCTCGGAGGTGAGCTGCATTTAGCAAGAGCAGATCACACAGCACTTAGCACAGGTACACGACTACAGAGGCATGAGGCAAACTTGGCTGGCACGCCCGAGGCAGGCTGTGCACAGATGTGACTCAGGCACCCCTGGGTGTAGCAGTAGTGGGCAGCCCTCCTGTCAACCCCCAGAGACACAGCTGCAAGCAGCCTCTGCCTGTAGACACAAATGCATTTGGAGGTAGAGGAGTCTTCTTCTTGGGCTCGTTAAAATTAGTTTTATGACCCAAATTCAGTTTCCTGGGATTTCAGGGAAACCCCTGAGGAAACTGGAGCTTCAGTTGCAACCATTATCCAAAAAGTTCCACATAAGAAGGCAGCCAGGTCCTGGAATTTCAACCTTGACCTGGTGTTCCTTGGCACATCCTAGAAACCTTGCAATTTAGCTGTGACCTATCTAGGTCTGAGGTGTTCAATTATCACTACCACAGACTTTGCACCATGCTCTAAGCAGCTTTGGAAAGGTGTCTGTTGCTCTCGTTGTACCAAAAACTCCTGTGTCCCTCCTGAGGCACATACTTCTTACTCTTCCTGACATTCTTCACAAACAGTACAACTGGTTGTAACTTCTCCCCTCACACCCCCAAAACATCCCTTACACTCATGGGGGGTCCAGCTGAGCCTGCCAGAGGCCAGGAGAAGTGGTAGCCTTGCCTCCCCCTGGTGCCCCACAAGCTGCCCTTGACAATCAATTATTTCTATGCCCTTCAAGCTTTCTTGATCTCCCTGGCTTCTTTTACTCACAGTATCTCTGAGACCCTCAGCACAACTGTGGGAGATGAAAAGGAAGCTCCTTTCTGCAGAGGCTGGCTTCTGCACTTGTATTTTAGATGATAACCTCATGCAGACTTTGAAAGGATGCTCTTCTGGCAATAATTCCTGGATTCAAATGGGATCTGGGGTCTGTTGTGTACCCCTCACACACATTGTGCTGGTCAATCTTTTGAAGCCTCCACATCCTGTTTCTATAGGTTGGGACAGGATTTCAGTGGACTTACAGATAAATTCCCCATTCTTAGCCTAGCTCTACTCCATCTCTAGTAAAAAAACCCACAATGGATAAGAATTCATTTGGCATTGCCCAACACAGAACCAGGTGGAATTTTGATTGCCTTGCATTTTATGCTAGTTGTCAAGCACTGTGACAAAGAGACATCCCAAAACATCCCTGTGAGCATCATTTGATTCTACACCATGATCTTGGAGGTTTCTCAGCACTGTGGTGGGGCTTGCAGGCGTTTCACATCACTCCTTGCTACCTCCCTTTCCCTCAGCGTTCCTGCTCAGGGCGTTGCATTCTCATGCCCTGGTGCAAGAAAGCAGAGACAAAGGATGCATTTGTTTTATGACTCACGGGCTCTGCCCGCCTTGGCTGAAGGGCACTGCACCACTCGAGCACAGCTGAGCAAACCTGGCCGCTCAGCAGCAGGATCCTGGTCCCTTCCTGTGCAGCCCTGTGGCACACCCCTGGGCACCACCCCTGTTCAAGCCCAACTGGAGAGCATGTCTCTACAGGCAGGAGCAAGATGCCCGGGCTAGCCCTGGGGTGCTGATGGAGAGAAGTCATCCAGGTGGAACCACTGCTGGAGGTGCTGTGCCAAGGCCAGGGCTAGTGCCATGGGAAGCCTCTGTGAGCCATAGGCGTGCCCACATCCAAGACTTCCTGTGGACCTCGATGCATCAAGCAATAAACTTACTTTTGGAGTTTTTAAAAATTTGTTATAATGGAAAATTTAGCCCTTAGGGAGCTTAAAAAGAAGGTATTTTTCAAGTGCTTGGGACACCTTGAGAATTACACAGTTTTTAAGAGGATATAATTTAATATGTTCATGATGAATTGCTTGAACTCCACTGTAAGAAGTCGAATGTTTTACTGAATATCAGTTCATCATATGTTTACTTATTTTAAAGCAAACACCTCCAGTGAACACAAACCCATGCACTCCTCCTGCCCTGCTGGACTTTCCCCAGTGCTCCACCTCCCCTGAAATGCAGCCAGCTCTGACAGAAAACTGCTTGTGAGCTAGGACTCAACCACACTTGGAAATAGAAGAGGTAGACAGTTCTTTTGTGCGACCAGGGGAGCAAAATAAAGCAAAAACATAGCTCAGCATCAACCAGGGGTCACAGACTAATTAAGTTTCCTTACAAAGAGATTGCTATGAAATGAAGCCTGTGTGAACAGTGGTGTGGCTGGTAAATCATCATCAAGCATAATTACCTCAGAAGTAGAGCTGGGAGGTAGGTTTTTCCTCTCTCCTTTATTAATTCAGCACAGCCAAAATAAGAGGGTTTTTTTAAACTTTCCTATTTTCAAAAGTGAGGGGGAACTACAAGATTCGTCTTTGTCTACAACAGTTTTTCCTTTTTTTTTTTGTAACACTCAGATTTACGACAGATTTAATTTTTCCATTCCCTCCTCCCCAGTCTTTGGGATAAAAATATGAAACAAATTAAAAGAGCCATAGAGAAGACACAGCCTGAGGTAAGAAAAATTAAATACTTAATTTCCTGCAGTTAACCGTATTCAGGTACTAGACATACCAAATACGATCCAGGGACTAAAATAAAAAACATTAAACATAAGAGCTTTCTTTTCTCCTAATAGACAATTATGGCTCACATGCCTCTTTAAGAGGAAAACCATGACCAAAGCAAGGCACTCACCACTCTCTTCTTGTGATGCTTCCCAGCAGAAATCCCAACTCACCTGCAAAGCTGAAAAGGCCCCTTTCTCACATCTCTGCTGCTTTTTAAAGAGCCCAGGTTGCTTGAGAATCATGCTGTGTGATTGGTAGGGTGCCCATCACATGAGGAAAACTTTTTTTCTAGCCAAACCTGTTCCCCAGTCCTCCTGGGACCAGAGGGTGTCTCTGTGATTCTTAGATCATATCGGAATGCTGTTGTGCTGAAAACACAAAGCTTTAAAGAATTTCTATTATTATATTCTCAAAAGGGTGGATGAGTGAGTCACTCATACCAGCTACTTGAACTTTAGAGGATGGGCAAGTTGGAAGGACGTAAATATGCAAGGATTGCTGGATCACTGTTTGAATGTAAGTATAAGAAAAATGTACTGAATAGAAAAAAAAAGTAAATTAATTTTAATGTTTTCATTAAATTATGTAGCATGGGAAAGATCCAATGGTTTGGGCTGGATCCATTTTCATTTTATTCAGCTTGGGATTTTTTTGGAAACAGAATTGTAAGTGTTGGCTACTTTGCAAGACACTGTGGATGACATGAAAAGTGGGGAGAATATTCCATTTCCTTGGGCACTCTGGATTTTTCACATAGTCAGTCCTATTAAGATAGAGCAAAGTAAAGCACAGATTTTTATATATATATATATATATGTATGTATATATTAATTGGCCGGTGATGAACTGAGAACAGCTGAGGAACACAACAGAAAAGGAATGCCTCTCACCTTCCTCTCCCTCCCTCATTCCAGCACAAGTTTGCCAAAAGTCATGATTCACATTACTGGTGCCTTGAACATGTCTCTGACAAAAGCACAGGTGGTTATACTTGTTCTTCATCTGCTGATGCAAAACCAGCCAAATGGGCTTGGGAAGGGTAATAGGAGTCCCATGATGTTAGAGTCCTTCACAAGTCAAAAACAAATACGAAAATAACATTTATATGTCCTATTGGTGGCCATCCTGGCAAATATTTTGTGTGAAATTAGTGAGCAATAGTTCTAAAGTCTTATGGATCCCTTGGTACTTGTAGACAACTGAAGAGAGATCTCGCTGTCCCATGACATCTATGTGAGATTTAACTCTGAAGAAAGGACAGCACTTTTGGTATTTCCAGTTCCATGAGGTATCACAGCCATAAGCAAAAGGAGACCCAGCCATTGCAGCCAGCCTGATCTAGTAGAAAAGGACAAGAAAATAGTCCCTTGAGTCCTCAAGAATACAGATGTAGATTTGTCTGGAGTTAAATGACTCAGACCTTCTTGTCCACTAATTTTGCTCCCTACAACACATGCAGTCTATTTTAGTGCAGTTGCTGCCCCATATTTTGGCAATGCTGGTGGAACTGGGTGTTTCACACCAGCTGGTGTCCTGGACTCTGGGAAGGCAGGCTCCCATCATCATTGTTGGACATTGAGAGCAGCTGGCAGGGGTAAAAGCAGTGCATCCATCTCCTGAGCATCATAGCTGGGCTGATCTTGGGACAGTGAATAGACAAAAGCCTGCCGTGGTAAAACACCCCATCACATCTCAGCTGAGAGGACAAAAGAGGCTGCAACTCTGGAAATACGATCTTGGGTAAACAAGACTAGGAAAGAGAGGAGAGGGAAGTGAAAGCTGGCAGTGAAGTTCATAGTCTTGCCAATCACTGAAAGTGGCTGCTGGGAGAGAATCTTGGTGCAGCTCAGCTCTTGCAGCTCTGTAGCCCTGTCCAGGACACTGCAAAAGCTGTTAGAGTGAATCCTTCAAGAAGAAGGAAGAGTGGTTTAGGCTGGACTGGGTGGTGGCCACCCTTCAGCTGTCATCACCACTTGGCTCTCACAGTTTGTTAATCCTGATTTAGAATCCGGGTAAGAATATTTTTATGGTCCCTGGAGATAAATATGATAGAGGAAAGAAGAGGCTTGGGATGGGGGTTTTGTTTGTTTCTTTGCACTTTTTTGGTGTGTGCCAACAAGGTCAGACTATGAGTTTACATGAATGCCTGTGCAGAGCAGAGGGTCAGAGATCTTGTCTGGGGACAGAGCACAGTGGGGCTGACAAGCCAGTGCTGGGAAGCCCCCATTCCCACAGGGGTACCTCCAGTGGGGTGCCTGCAGCTGTTTTAGCTTCCCCTGTAGGACTGCGCTGGCCTACTTCAGATGGAACAACACTTCTATACAGCCAGACCCATATATTTGTATGCGTCACAAGCTCTTGCACTTGTGAAAGTTCCAGACTCTTGAGTATGCACACCCTGCACAAAACCATACCTATGTACGTGTGCAGGTACAAACCCATACACATGTGTGCGTTGTGCATCCAGACACGGGCTCACATATATGCACACCTCTGCTGTGAGTAAGTTAAAGGCAAAGTGGGACTTAGGAGTAAAGACATGCTGCCATTTGGAGTTTCATTTGCAGGGACAGTCAGATGCTGAGGCCCCAGCCTGGCCTATTTTTAGATGGAGGTGGAAAATGAGATTTCTCAGGAGATCTATCTATGGTTATTGCAACGTGCTCAGTGGGTGGACAGGGCAAAGTTAGAACAAAGTTAGCCTGTCACAAAGTATGCTGTGCTTATTCAAAATTGGCATGGAAGGCATGCTGGAGGATGCCCAAAATTGCTGAAAAGGGCTGATCAGATGTTGTGGTTAGTTCTAGTGTGTTGGTTCCACTCTTCACCTCTAAGAATACTTTCCTGCCTTCCTGAATCCTTTGGATTTCTTCTCTTCATAGCATGGAAATAATGATTTAAGGCTGAGATAATATGAGCGGGAGGAATTAGGGAGGGAGCGAGCATACAGAGAGGAAAAGGAGCTTGTGGTCAAAGCACTAGACTCTTAGGAGCCATCTCTGTGACGCCCTCATGTCAGTGTCATGACAGAGCCACTGCCATCCATCAGCAGTAGGTTCCTGACTGCATTTTCAGTGTTGCATGGTAAGATCAAAGCTCACAGCTGAGGGACTGGGCTTAGGAAATCCCTTGTCCCTTCCAGTGTGGCTTCAGTGTTGGCCAAGCCTGTGCTCCCATGCACAGGTTCAGCTTGACACACAGCCTGTCCCAAGGAGGGGATTTTTTTAATGATTGTCCCTCCAGTATATGGTGGCAAGTTCAGGGCAGCACTGCTGAGAGTAAAGCCAAGCATCCCTGTGGCAGCATGCTGCAGAGGGGATGCCCATGAGTGTAGGTGCTGCCACCTTTTCTGGTAGAGTCTCGACCTCATCAGCTGGGTCAGCAACCTCCTCCTTGAGGGCAATGCTCCCTGTGGCCCCAGTCACAATTGCTGCCACCCAGCTTTGCTCCTGCATTCCCAGGAAAGCTGCAAACAGCTTGACCTTCCTTCCCTGGCCAGATTTGAGTTTGAGGCTCGTGTCTGCCACTCAAGCTCTCCACGTACCATGGCCAGGAGCCAGCTCCTGCCTAGAGTAGAAGGGAATTCCTAATGGCTGCCTTCTCTCCCATCTCAGTACATCTGCACAGGGAGTGAGGATGCAGGCGGTGGGGGCCAGATGTCCACTGTGCCTCGGGTTTGCAGCTGGCCTGGCCTCCTGCCAGCCTTGCCTCCCATCTCCCCAGTTGAGTTGTATTTTTTGCTACAGCTGCCTCCTCCTTTTGGCAACATTTTTGCCCTTTTTTGCCACTTTTTACAACCTCAAGAGAGAGGAATAACTGTGGGATATAGAGAATAAATATGTGAACACCACCTAGTGAGATCAGGGGAGAGCAACTCAGTCTCTGAAATTGTTTACCAAACAGTGCTGAGTGTGGGGAGACAAATGGCAGACCATGAGCAACAACCATGGGCTAATTATAGGATAAACCACTGGGCCACTGGGTGGCCACCCCAGCTAAACCTGCAAACCTACAGACTGAAAAGCAGAACTGAATATATATGTATGATGGGGAATGCAGTCAGTAACTTCTGTCTGAAACCTCAGCTCCCTTGGCAAAGAGCATTACAGAGAACACAGATACAAGCACCTTTGTGATGCTGGTAATGCTCAGGTTCTGCATTTAGCAATGGACTTCCAAGGATGGAGCATCCACAATTTCTCTGGGCAACCTGTTCCAGTGATTCACCACCCTCTGAATACAGAATTTTTTCCTAACATGTAATCTAAACCTGTCCTCTTTCAGTTTAAAGCTATTTCTCCTTGTTCTATCATTACCTGCTCGTATAAGAAGTCAATTTCCCTCCTTTTTATAAGCCACTTTTACATACTGGAAGGCTACAATGGGGTTTCCCCTAAGCCTTCTCTTCTCCAAGCTGAACAACCTCACCTCTCTCAGCCTGTCTTCATAGGAGAGGAGCTCACAGGGAAGGCTCACAGGAGGATATAAATCTCATTTGCCTTGGCAAACGATTGGCTGGGATTTGCAGAGATCTTTGGCAGGAGAAAAGACTTTTGAGAAGAAGGCAGAAATTTTCTGCTTGTCTTTTAGATAAGTCTTCTTTAAAAGGCTGTCCAGGGAAGATCTGCTAGCCAGTACTCTTGGTTATGAAACCTGGCCTCTGAAAGACTGCATATGTCAGTATGGCTAATGGCTTTCAATACAGCCATTAGGATGCGGTCCCAGCTCGTGAACAGCCTTGGCATTATGATGGTCCTTTATTACTGTTGGTTCAGTTGAGTTTCCCCCAACAGACTGTTGACTGGAACAAGCTGTTCTGTCTGGATCTGGTGACTGCATTATTTCTGCTGCTGGTTAAAAACTTCTCCTCCAAAATCCCCTCTGTCAGTCATGAGCCACAACACGCTTCAAAGATGAGGTCTTGTTTGGGAACCTTTACTGCTTGCTTGCAATGGGTCAAAGAAACTTGTTGACACTGATTCCAACTTATTATTGAAAGGTGTTTGGGGATATCTCATTGCTCCCAAACCCACTATTTTTCTCCTCTGCATTAGCTGCATCTGATGGAGGAGGCCTAAAAAAGGCTGGCAGTGGAGCACTGCCATCTACATATGGTTGACTGTCAGTACCTGTTTTCCAACACACTTCTGTAAGCATATATTTCATTTATCTCAGCATTTCCACCATCAACCTTGACAGAGGTCTGATGTATCCAGCAGAAAGAGGGAGGACAGTCAATTAAAGCTGCATCACAAGAGTCTTGGCAGTGGGAGGAATGGGGAAAAGCAGAGGGTTGTTGGCTGGTGCAACACTGCAATGGAAATAGCACCTGCCTTGGGCAAGTTTGTAGTGCTCCTGGGGTGACAGCCTCTGCCTTGGCAAGGGTGTGGTTGATGTCTCACACCGGTTCATTGCTTTAACAGAACTGTAGGCACTGTCCACAATTCTTCCACTGAAACTCTTCCAAGGTTCCAGTACCTAACCAGAAACTTCCCTGAGAAATCTGAGAGACTCAGATCCTGCCATGCACCTGAGGTCTGACCCAGTCAAGCCTGTACCGAGCTGTACCTGGGTTTCAGTTCTAGGTGGACGA